AACAAAGTTTAATTTTGGACTCTTTTGACCTCAAAATGAACCAATTTGATAGCGGGGCCCACAAATAAAAAATCTAAATACAGGGTTAGATTCAGCATATCAAAGAACCCGAAATATTCAATTTTTGTTGAAATTAAACAAAGTTTAATTTTGGACCCCAATTTGGACCAACTTGAAAACTGGGCCCAAAATCAAAAATCTAAATACATGTTTAGATTCAGCATATCAAAGAACCCCATATATTCAATTTTTGTTAAAATCAAACTAAGTTTAATTTTGGACCCTTTGGACCTTAATGTAGACCAATTTGAAAACTGGACCCAAAATTAAAAATCTAAATACACGGTCAGATTCGGCATAACAAATAAACAAATAAATACATGTTGTCAAAGATTTTACAAATCTAATGCGCCATACTGTGCAATTAAAGATTACTTCTTGAAATTTTTCAATATTTGAAATTTGAAAAAAAGATAATATTTGAAGAATAATTCTTTTAACTTCTGAAATCTGAAATAAGACAAAATTGACCCCACAATTTCTTTTTACTCCCCCCCCCCCCCCCCCCCCCCCCCCACCCCTTTCCCCAAAAAAATTCTTTCCCTCAAGATATGGTGATAATCTCAATTCAAATTAAATTTCCAATGGAGTTTGCAACCATAATTACCCATTTAAATTTACCATAGTGCTAACTTAATCTATTTTATAATAGAATTTAAAATATGGTGTCAAATCTTTCATATGGATTTTTTGGTAAAAAAAAAAGATGCAACATTTGCAGATATTTTTACTGGTCTTCCTTAATAAATATGCATTTCTTTAAACATAATTTAAAAGCAGTGTAAGGGAAATAATCAAAACGTTGTATTTGGATTACCTCCCTCACACTGTTTTAAATTGTCTTAATTGTACATTAACCATTACTTTATACATAATTTAAAATCAGTGTAAGGGAGGTAATTCAAATGATGTATTTGATTTATCTCCCTTACACTGCTTTAAATTATGTTTTGTACTAAAGTATTTGTCCATTAACCAGGACAACCTTGTTTTCCCCCCTTTTTTGCCCCTAATTCCTAAACAGTTTGAGCCATAACCCCCCAAAGCAAATCCTAACCATCCCTTTGTGGTATGGAAACTTGTGGTATAATTTCAGAGAGATCCATACACCTTTCCACAAGTTATTGTCTGGAAACTAGAAAATGTTTATTTTGGCCCCTTTTTGGCCCATTATTCCTAACTGTTGGTACCATAACCCCCAAAATCAATCCCAACCTTCCTTTTGTGGTATTTAACCTTATTGTAAAATTTCATAGAGATCCATTCACTTAAAACTAAAGTTATAGTGTGCGAAAACCAATGTGTCTTCAGACGACGACGCCAACGTCATACCAATATACGACCGCAAAAATTTTTGGGGGCGTATAAAAAGGACTTAGTATGGCAGAATTTAATATCCCCCCTCCCACCCCCCAAAAGAAAAATACAAAACAAAACAACATTAATTCTCCTGTTAAATATGTTTGAGTGTTGGAGGTGAGTTTCAAGCTCTAGTCTCCCACCAGCATCCATTTCTGTTAATTTTATTATTATGCAGTGTTAAGAATCCATACAGTATCGGTTTAAATTTAAGAACTGGTAAAGGCCGGAACATTTCCCTATAAATGGGTATTTTATAATAAGAAAAAAATAAACAGGGAATGTGTCTATGGGACACAGATGATGCCCCCACTTGCATATAAAGTTAAGGGCTATAATTCAAGAACTGTAAAAGTGACGCTACCCAAATTTCTTCTTGATCTGAGTTTTGTGGTAATAAGCAGTGTGTCAAAGTTTCATAACATTTGGTTGAGGCAAACTTTAGTTAGAGAACAGAAACATAAAATTCAGCAGTTTTTATACGACCGCAAAAAATTTTTGCGGTCGTATATTGGTATGACGTTGGTATGACGTTGGCGGCGTCGTCGTCGTCGTCGTCGTCGTCCGGCGTTGTCCGAAGACACATTGGTTTTCGCACTCTAACTTTAGTTTAAGTAAATGGATCTCTATGAAATTTTACCATAAGGTTCAATACCACAAAAGGAAGGTGGGGATTGATTTTGGGGGTTATGGTACCAACAGTTAAGGAATTAGGGGCCAAAAAGGGGCCAAAAATAAGCATTTTTGTAACTTCCAGACATAACTTGTGTGTTAGTGTATGAATCTCTCTGACATTGTACCACAAGGTTCCATATCACACAGGGAATGCTGGGATTGATTTTGGGGGTAATTGCCTCAAAATATTAGGAATTAGGGGCCAAAAAAGGGGCAAAAAACAAGCATTTTTCTAGTTTCATGACAATAACTTGTGTGTAAGTGTATGGATCTTTCTGAAATTGTACTACAAGGTTCCATATCACAAAGGGAAAGCTGGAATTGAGTTTGGGGGTAATTGCCCTAAACGTTTAGGAAAAAGGGGCCAAAAAGGGTGCAAAAATAAGCATTTTTCTAGTTTCCAGACAATAACTTGTGTTCAAGTGTATGGATCTCTCTGAAATTGTACTGCAAGGTACCATACCACAAAGGGAAGGCTGGGATTGATTTTGGGGGTAATTGCCTAATGGAACCGTGTATTTAGATTCTTAATTTTTGGTCCCGTTTTCAAATTGGTCTACATTAAGGTCCAAAGGGTCCAAAATTAAATTTAGTTTGATTTTAACAAAAATTGAATTCTTGGGGTTCTTTGATATGCTGAATCTAAACATGAACTTTAGTTTTTTGATTATGGGCCCAGTATTCAAGTTGGTCCAAATCAGGGTCCAAATTAAACTTTGTTTGATTTCAACAAAAATTGAATATATTGGGTTCTTCGATATGCTGAATCTAACCATGTATTTAGATTTTTGATATTTGGGCCCGTTTATCAAATTGGTTCACATTGAGGTTTAAAGGGTCCAAAATTGAACTTTATTTGATTTCATCAAAAATTGAATTCTTGGGGTTCTTTGATATGCTGAATCTAACCATGTATTTAGATTTTGGATATTGGAATACCACAAAGGAATGGTAAGAATTGTCTTTGGGAGTTATGGCTCAAACCGTTAAGGAATAAGGTGCAAAAAAGGGGGGAAAAAGGGTTTCCAGGTTAATGGACAATTACCTAAGTACAAAACATAATTTTAAAGGCAGTGTAAGGTTGGTAATTGAAACTCATTTGAATATCTCACCTAAACTGCTTTTAAGTTATGTATATTGGAAATTTGGCAAAAACTTTATTATTAATAAATTCCATTGGAAATTTGCCAAAAACTTTAGTTTAATGAACTTCATTGGAAATTTGCCAATATAAAATGTTGCTGATGAAGCGTTTTTGTTTATCTCACCTAAACTGCTTTTAAATTATGTATATTGGAAATTTGCCAAAAACTTTATTGTTAATAAATTCCATTGGAAATTTGCTAATAACTTTAGTTTAATAAACTTCATTGCATATTTTCTAGTTTCCAGACAATAACTTGTATGTAAGTGTATGGATCTCTCTAAAATTGTACTGGGGGGGGGGGGATTTTTTTTTTCCAATTTTTTGGGGTTCATATTTTTTTTCTTCAAAGTTTTTGTAATCTTCAATTGCACAATATTGCGCAATAGCAAGAAATCTTCAATTGCACAGTATTGCGCAATAGCAAGAAATCTTTAATTGCACAGTATTGCGCAACAACACAGTATTGCGCAATAGCACAGTATTGCTCAATAGCACAGTATTGCACAATAGCACAGTATTGCGCAATAGTAAGAAATCTTCAATTACACAGTATTGCGCAATAGCAAGAAATCTTCAATTGCACAGTATTGCGCAATAGGAAGAAATCTTCAATTGCACCGGTTTGTGCAATAGCAAGAAATCTTCAATTGAAAATAAATACAAATCTTTTAACCAATTTCAATGGGATTAATTTAAAGTCTTTAATTTTTGGGGGTTCTTACCTTGTATTACTTTTTTGGATATTGGGCCCCATTTTTAGATTGGTCTACATTGAGGTCAAAAGGGTCCAAAATTAAACTTTGTTTGATTTCATCAAAAACTGAATGATTGCGGCTGTATGATATGCTGAATCTTATTGTGCATTTAGATTTTTTATTTTGGGCCCTGTTTTCAAATTAGTCCATATTAAGGTTTGAAGGGTCCAAAATTAAACTTTTGATTGATTTCAACTAAAATTAAATTTTTGGTGTTTTATTATATGCTGAATCTAACCATGTTGTTAGATTTTGGATATCAGACCATTCTAGGTAAAATGAATGTCCCATTTCAAATTTTTAAGCTCTTTGACCACATTTATTTTGTGTCAGAAACCTATATTATGTCAAAAATTTGATCACAATCCAAATTCAGACAGTATCAAGCTTGAATATTGTGTCCAAACTTGCCCCAACTGTTTAAGGTTCGACCTCTGCGGTCGTATCAGGCTGCGCTCTGCGAAGCATTTTATTCCATTTGTAAAGGGGCATAACTCTAGAATAGTAAAAGCAAAATTAAACCTCAATCTGTGTTTTGTGGTAATAAGCATTGTGGATAAGTTTCATAAAATTTGGTTAAGGCAAACTAAATTTAGAGAACGGAAAACTTTTTTGGGATGTACGGAGGGACGAACATACAGATGGACAAGGTTAAAACTTAATGACCCCTCCACTATGGCAGAGCATAAAAAGACATAGAAAACAAGAACTACTTTTTGCTCATAATTCTTTAACAGGAAAGGCAACACTCCTACATAGTTTGGGTTACCAGTTACATATGAGGGTCTGAATAGGGTGGTGTTCATTTATATGATTAATTTCATGCCATTGTTATATATTCTTTAAATTTTAACACATAATTATTTTTTTTATCTTTTAGTAAAAAAAAAAGTTTTCTATTTTCCTTTCTTTTTCTTAATCACCATGCTTTTCCATTATCTTTTAATTTGTAAACCTCGTCCATACTGCCTTATATGACTGATGGTAATGAAGGAATAAACAGCTACCATAATAATACAATTAATAATGTACTCACAAAATTACAACAAAAGAAAAATATAAATATCACCAAGAAGTGCTTAGAACAAATTAGAAATCTTTCAAATTATTTAAATTTTACTACAAATGCAGTACCTTAAATCAATTTCACAGCTACATTAGAACAAATATTTTGATATACTAGTATACAACAATAATATATAATTATAAATGATAACTGTTGATTAAGAATGCCATACAACATGTCAGTGTCTTGCAATTATAAATAACCTTAAAAATTGGTTTAATCAGCGACAACATTTATACAAAGATCATTACACGATAACAAAAATTCAACTCCAATCTTTATACATAACTACATGTACATAATTTAATCTTTGTGCACTGTCATTTTTACCAAACCCTCTGCATTTTAAAAAATGAAACGTAACAAGAATCAATTATATAGAACAATCACATCCCATTCTTACTATGGATTACCTCCCTTTGATCATATACAAAATGTTGTTGTTTTTTTTCAGACAAAAGAATTATTGAGGAAAGTTTACCAATTCTTTGTGGGAGAGAAGGAGAAAAATAAACCATGGGCACTTCAAAATCCCATTAAAAGACTAGTAAAGGCAACAGGTAAAATTAACTTATTTTTTAAAAAAAAATTTCAGTTTTACATAACTGAAAAAAAAAGAAAAATTATTTGCATAAAATCAACAATTATGATTTTAAAGCAGACAAACTTTGTTGGAGACCTCAATTATTGGGGTCTTGTTATTTTTAATAACATATAATTGTGCAAACCAAATGATGTCTATAGATAAAACTTGATGAAAGATATTTTCAACCTCATAAATATCAATTCATAAGGTCAAGGCATCAATAGCAAATTTGCAGGTAAAACAGTTAACTGTAAATACACATCAACAATTAAACATGAAAATGAAGCGAGGGTCAGATGTACCCTTGGACATGAGTTCCATTCCAATCCTTCCACATACACCAAATATAGTAATTTTAGATGAATCACGTGTACATTAGGATAAGTTTCAGATAATGTAATTGGGGCAAATCTAATAAATATTTAAGTGGTGATAAGAAAACTTGAATTCTAATGCAATTTTTATGTAACAATTTTTTTCATTGGCTAAAAGTTACCGTCAAATCCACAGTTGACCAGGCTTAACTAAGGAGGGATCCGCCATTTTGAATTGATTGGATCAACAAATGTTCGATTACTACAATATTATCGAAAATAAAACAAAACCTACAACCAATTCGCCGTTTTAATGTGATTTTATCCGAATTTAAATCGTAGAGGTAACGTAATAACCTTCAGTTTGTCAGTTTTCATTTGAATGACGTCACACTTAGCCATGACGTTTTTGCGCCAAAATCATTCAAGAAGTTTCGCGGATTTTTTTGTATGTGAAATTTATACATTTTGTCAAGCTCTAACGTATTATTTCTTTTTGTATTGCATTAGAATCGGAATAACAGTACTGTAGTTGAAGAGTTGCCACCGTCAATTTTGATTTGACGGTTGAAATTTCCGTTTTACTGTCTCCGCTACGCATCACCAGTAAAACTGCATTTGCGATCGTCAAATCGACAATTGACGGTGGCAACTCTTCAACTACAGTACTGTTATTCCTTAAATATATTGTCAAGCTATGCAAGTCCAACAACAATTTTTTATGACTATGCAAACAAGAAGATATATAAATGCCCCCAACCACCTTGAATCCACTCTATACAATTATATACAAGTTTTTTCTATCATTTTTATGTTATATGCTGAAATACATGGACAATTGAAATTTCAGGGATTAAACCAACAACACTGCGACGTTATGTCCATACAGATGCCAGTGATGATGCTGTGCAGGATGTGGTGAAGGCAGTTCATAAGGCTGCTGTCCAGAAAACTGTCAAGAAGAACCAGAAGTTGGATGATTTCGACAAAGGTGTGGTGAGAAGGACCATCTATGATCTGCACAAGAAATCCCAGTCAGTGACCATGCCAAGTCTGCAGCAAGCTCTGAAAAAGAAAGACATCGACGTTTCCATATCAACAGTGTCGAGAACAGTGCGTTTACTGGGGTTTCGGTAATTAATTTCATTCATAATGTTCGGACTTAATCCATTGTTTTGTAGTACATGTATCTTAAATCATCTCTTTTAACATGTTTAATTATCAATTATATATACACACAAGTCTAAATTGAAAACAACGTTCAAACCTATGATTGCGTTGGATAAAAACCTCTATTTTTGTATGTGTGCATGCAAAACAAATTTCTTGGTAGAGGTGTCTAAATACAGCACAAACAACATAAAAATCATTGATTCAAAAATCTGAAACACTTTCATAACTTGAATTAATGAAATATTTACCTGCATTAAATACACATTTCAGTATTGAAGTACATATCTATACATATTGGAAATATTTTTTTGCTCTGTAGTCATCAGCAAAATAGTCTGAAAACAAATAAACCACAATTCAAATTTATAGCTACAAATTATTAAACATATGTGAAAAATAAATCACATGCATCAATCACTATTATAATGTTCCTTTTAAACATAAACCTGCAGAAGTCTCTTTCAAAATGTGGTATCCTCTTAAAGCGACAAATATAGAATGTTATTGACACCCACTTTTAGTTGAGATTTAAAAGTACGTTCTTTGCGCCCCAATTATGTTTCAGTGTAATAACCCTTAAATGTTATGCAATTGTGAATGTATATATTTATATAAATTTTTTTTTTCAGGTTCTACAAGAATGCGTCAAGCCGAAGATTTGTGTCGGAGAGGGAGGACATCGTTCTCATGAGAATGACATATCTTCGTAAGATACGTAAGTTTAGGCAGCAGGGGCGTCATATTGTATATCTAGATGAGACTTGGTTGAACACTAATCATGTGGTAAAGGGTGACTGGCTGGATGTTCCCAGCACATCCATGTCTGTCTTTGAGCCCCACTGTAAAGGTACCCATCGGAAAGTCCCTTCTGGCAAGGGTACTAGATTGATAATCCTAGATGTTGGCTCCTCTCAACAAGGCCTAATCCCCGGATGTGGTCTTATATTTGAGTCGAAAACCAACAGCTCTGATTATCATGACGAGATGAATAAGGAGCACTTTACAGAGTGGTTCAGAGATACACTTCTCCCTAAACTGCCTCCTCGGTCTGTAATCATAATGGACAATGCTCCGTATCACAGTCACTTAGATCCTGACTCAAGGGTACCAAACACTAACAGCAACAAGTCAGAGATCTCGGCATGGCTGGAGAAGAGCATTGTTCAGTATGATAAGAAAATGAAAAAGGCCGAGCTGCTTGATTTGGTGAAGCAACACAAACCTCTTCCTAGGTATATTATAGACGAACTTGCATCAGCTAATGGCCATGAGATTTTACGAACACTTCCTTACCATTGTGAGCTCAATCCCATCGAAATGGTTTGGTCTTACTTAAAAGGCTATGTAGCTAGACATAATTCTAGCTGCAAGAAAAAAGACATTATCAAGCTTTTTGAGGAGGCCAAGTCCCATATCGATGCGGAGCGCTGGGCTAAATTTGAGACTCATGTGGAGAGGGAGTTTGAGGAAAAGCTCAGGAAACTTGATGGCATCAGAGACGAAGACGTCGATCCAGTGGTGATTGACATGACGGACAATGACAGCCAAGACAGTCAAAGGACAATTCCTTACATGTTTTCAGAGGGGGAGGAGGAGGGGAATGACGTTGAAAATGACAATGACTTTGAGGACAGTGTCTCTGATACCATCAATGATGCTGATGAGATTTTGTGCAATACCTGTGGTAGCACTGAACCACCCAAGCCTATTCAAAAGGACAAGTATATATCCTGGTTTCAGTGTGATGCTTGTGATCAGTGGGTACACAACAGGTGTTGCACAAAACCTGCTCTTGCGAAGAATGTCTGTCTTCGGTGCTTCTCCATTTTTAACCACCGGAACCTCAGTGAACCAATTATTTCGCCACTTGAAGAGATGGAACAGTGATGTCTTTCTTTCATGCCAGTAAAATAGTAACATGAACACTCCATAATTTTTACTTATTAAAGATATTTTTAAATGTAGATTTATCAATAAAATTGAGAATGGAAATGGGGAATACTTATAGCAATGTATAAAATTGATTGTTTTATTCAAAGCATGTTAAGAAAAATGATAAACAGAAAAACTCCTATCTTTTCTATAAAAAGTGATTTCCTATATATAATATCTGTAACTTTTTAAAAACTTAAAAAATGTCTTCCATTAAAATTAAAAAATTAAAAACCTGATGGCTAACTGGCTTAGTTGATCTGTGATTAGTAGTTGAGGGTGGGAAAATAGAATATTTTTCATTTGAATTATAAACCAAAAAAATGTTCCTCCCTACACTATGACACTTGCACATTAAAACTTATTTTACTGTCAAAAAGTTACTTCCAATCATTAACATAAGCAAGGATTATCAATTGTTTTTTTATATTTTTTTTAAAGAAAGTGTAGGTACATGTACATGCAACTATTTTACTGGCAGTTTCAGAACTGATACAGCTTTATACATGGGAACTGTCTACATTTCTTTACAGCTCAGGAGGACTTTCTTAACATACCTTTGTTTAATCTTCGGTTACTGATTCTTTGATAACAGTTTCTGGACAGTTAGTTGAGTGATTGCTATTAACCCATCCTGTATACATTAAATCAACATCTGTGATATAGTTTCAACATCTGTGATATAGTTTCAACATCTGTGATATACCCTACTTTCAACATCTGTGATATACCGTAGTTTCAACATCTGTGATATACTGGTTTCAACATCTGTGATATATAGTTCCAACAACTGTGATATATATTTATTCTGATTGTAAATAGTTCATTTATGTTGAAGATCTCTATTTCTAATTATGTTTATAAAAAGTAATTGAATTTTAATGATTAATGTTGGTTAAGTTTTTAATTATAACTTGTTGTTCATGTTGTTACTCCAATATAAAAAAAAAGGTACATGTACATTGTATCTTAAGTTATTAAATCATAAATTTTGTTTAAATACACTGTTATATTGTTTTATTGAAAATGCTTTTTGATATATACAGCTATAGATTATAAGATATAGCTATTACAATATGTAGATGTTTAACTAGTACATAAGAATTTTGCAAGTTAAAAGAAAAGGAAGGTTGAGATGAGGAGCAGCTTTTAACTTTTGATCAATGCATTAAGAGACTTAATCTTAAAATGAAAAAACGTATTAAGGCATTTGGATTAGAAGTGCATCAATTCTGAAAGGTGTCAATGTTCAAAATTTGAGAGAACACCCTTGGAGAAAATTTTCACAATGATAAACCTATTTCACACTTTCTCTCATTTTTTTATCTGGTATCATAATTTGTAATGTTTAAACATAAAACAGTTGATGTGGTATATATATACATACATGTATATGAATGAAACAGAAACCCAGCATAAAGAATATCAAAGATTGATTGGTGTTTGCTTTACTCTCAAGTCTGCATTAAAAAGTCAACATACAGTCTTTAACAATAGACAAATAGATAGATGGCGTAACAATATGTCGATTACAGGCAACTCTTGCAATCAACATCAAGATGAACACGTTCAGTATTCAGTCATCAAACTTGTAAGCTGAGTATGTTTAATACATTTGTAACAGAGAAATTGCCAAAAAAACATGCCAGTACAGCATACCAAATCAACCACCCTATTATATTCTATGTGTGTATCCCCCAAGTCAAGAGTATCATGGAACTTAGTGAGTTTTTTTGTTGCTGTATAGAATAGAATATTTAGTGACAGTCCTGTACCGATGAAATCGAAAGGGGACTTCAGGTTTGCACTCCGCCTGTCTGTCTGTCCATCTGTCAGTCCGGCAAATCAGTTTTCCACACTTTTTTCTTCATGCTTGAAAATATTGATTTGATATTTGGTATATAGTTTTATCATGGCAAGTTACAGATCAAGTTTGAATTATGTTCTGGTCTGATGATTTTATGCAGAGTTATGGTCCTTGGAATTAGAAAATTTACTTAAATAATCAGCTTTCCTCACTTATCTTTGCCATGCTGGAGTATATTGACTTTATATTTGATATATAGTTTACACCATGACAAGTTATAGATCAAGTTAGCATTTTGTTCCAGTACAATGAATTCTTAACAGGTAGTGGACTATGTATTGGCATAGTTGCCATGCAATACTCTCAGAAATGCTTGTTTTATTTAAAATTCCCAAACTTCAGAGCTCACAAATTACAGGTACATGTACATGTATAAGATATGTGTTTTGTGTTTGTTTGTTTGTACATTAATAAGGTCCATAGATTCATTGTTCGCATGTTTTACGCTTTGTCTTATCAGGGCCTTTTATACATTTGTAACTGGCAATGTGGTATGGTGACACACAGTTGTGAATGTCTGTCAGAGGGGAACAGAGTACATTTATGATAAATCCATAGACTTTTTACAAGTATCACTAGTACTCATAATGACTGAAAACCTGTTTTAAGAGGCTTCAAAATAGCCCTTTTACCTTTCTTGAACATACATTGTAACAACGAACTTGCATAAGGCAGTGACCAAAAAAGCGAGTCATAAAGAAAAAGGTTATATTTCAAGTATTATAATGACCGGTTTAAATTACATCAAAATCAGATGAACTTACAATCATTCAAAACAACAGATATAGTTAATGTGGACTTGGGAATCCTTTAAATGTATGTTCAATGAAAAGAATATTATCCACAAACAAAATGAAAATCAATTATTAATGGATCAACATGTACATGGAAAATAAATAAAAACTAATGTTTACTTGTGAACTCTAAAAGGGTAAGCATTTCCATTTGACATTAAAAGAAATTTCAAGGGAACTTGTCATTTTTTTTAAGAAATTCCAAAACATCCCATTGGAATTAACTGTGGCACCCTAGTCCAGTTTACTTCATGTAGTATTGTTGAAATCATAGTACATATAGCAATGATGTTGTATTGACATGTACAGAAATTGATGTTATAAAGATAACATGAAACCTGAAGAGTCTGTGTTTTTGCTGTTTCTGTATAATCGACTACATTCATGAGCTGAAAGGCTACAATCAATGTCTGTTTTTTTTAAACCAGAAAACATATCAACAGATGTTTGACACAGGTATCATCATTTTTTTTTCTGTGCATATTTCATTTTTTTTTATAGGAATCTCAGATGAAAATCAGTAAAATAGCCATTTCAGGATTATCCAAATTTTCTACCCCTCCCCCTCCCATTCTGACTCGTCACTGCACTTCCCAGACTACCGCTACCCTCCCCTTGACTCCTGCTTACCAACATCTCATTCCCATATTCCCTAGTCCGATATTGCTTTGGCGTCCGACGGCTGTTTTGTCCGAAAAGCATGTTACCTTGCCCCAGTTACCCCTCAAAATTTTATATGTTAAAGTTCAGTCTTTCTTCAGTTATTGTGATTGGATATGTTGCCGGTTCTTTTTTATTTGTTTTTTTAATACATTACCTTTTTATTTCATTGTTTCTTCGTGTAAACACCATTCTGTCCATTCTCCGGGTCATATTCAGGTAACATATTTATCTTGTCGATTACACAACTCGTGTTATTGTTTACATGTAAAAAGCGCGGGAAACTGTATCACATCAATGACACGGATATTGCCGGAGAGTAACGAATGTTATGTAAATAAAGGATCCTCATAGAAACCATGATGGCGGATTAACAATGTAAATAATCTTGAATAATGTGAAGGTCAGGATTATACAGTGCAAACACAATAAAAGGTAGGACAGTAGTGGATATTTGGAAAGGATTTTTATTCCGCTTATTGAAAAACGTCATCTCGAGTGAACGCGGCTGATATTTAAAAAAATTTCTACAAAAAACACGGTGCCAATTTTACATGACGGCGACTATAAATAAAGGCAACAGTAGTATACCGCTGTTTAATTCTAAAAATTGGTTAATTCGTCGGTACGATAAAAGGTCATTATATGACTCAGTGAGATGAATTTGATAATGAAAAAATGTTTATAGATATACGAAGATGTGCCAACTGTATTACCCAAACACTGCCAATGACTATACTGAATACTTTTATCTCTTAAATTAAGCCAAACAATTTAAGTGTTCAAAGACAGTCAAAAAACTCCGACATCACTCGTTATTACGTCGAGAATCAAACACTTCAGAATCTGTATAACAGTATTTTAATAAGCGGTACATGTATATGGCAAATCTTTATCAGCTTTTATTGTTGAGATATTTTTTGGTTTTTAATACAATCCTTTGCAGGTCCAGTTTATATGCCACGGTAAGATCTACAATGTTTGAAGCTAAATCTAAAAACTGTTAGAATTTAACAGTGGCATTACTTGCATCATATACGTTTTTGAATGAATGAATGAATGAATGAATGAATATGTATTTGCAAAAGCATACAGAACATGCTATGGCAATACATAATATATACACAATGTGACAAAAGACTGATAACAGAGAACAATACAATAATAATATAACTAACCAATTATATCAGATCTATATTTCCATGCATTCTTCAGATAGTTACAGAGCTTAATTGTAAATGATCTAGAAGTAGCATTCATCAAACAAGATAGTTTAAAAATATTAGGCCATAAACAATAATAACGTGACAGAAAAACAATTTCTAATTGCTCTATATGCTGAACATACTAATACATAATGAAATTCGTTCTCAACACATTGCATATTGCAACATACACATAGACGCATTTGTCTTGGTATATCAGAGAAAATAACCAACTTCAACATTTAGTTTCAATGTACCACTTCGTAGTTTTGTAAGAATGTGAACATTATTAATGTAGCTTAAATAATTCTCAAAAATCAATCTTTACACTTCTATATACACTTAATTTCTGACAATCATATATATCTGCTGACCATTTTTGTAGATATTGGTCTTTAGTGCGTGTCTTCATAACATCAAAAGATATATCAATATTATTCTGGTCAAGCCAAATATGGTTCATTCCAAGACTAAATAAAAAATCACGCACATTAGATACCCAATTAATTTTACCTTGATTTCCATCGTCATATAAACTTTTATTTACATTATATTCAAAAGCTGGTTTATATATAACAGTACGTAACCAATACTTCAATATTAATTGTTTTCTCAAAACATACATAGGTAGTTGACCAAGTTCGCCACACAGAAAACTGATAGGAACACGTTTACCTACTTTTAAAACAAACATACAAAAACAATTATAAATAATCTCTACATATATGTCGTTAGCGCGGTGATAACCCCATATTTCGGAAGAATAGTTCGGTACCGATCCAACCATACTGTCGTAAAGAAGACATTGTTGATGTGTAGAAATGTAGATATTATTCAAACAGTTTTAGAGTGATGAGAGAGCACTTGATCCTTGCTGGGGTAGTCGTTTTGTGTGTGTAAGAATTTCCCGTTAAAGTGTAGCAACATTCAAAGGTAAACGAAGGGAATAACGATTTGAAGTTCTTGGTTATCTTATCATATATGAAACGATTATATACAGGTTGCCATCCATTTCTGAACATAACTACTTTAGTTTTGTCAGTGGTAACTTCTATATTCCATTTTCTACAATATTTGGATAGATTGTCAAGTAACTGTTGAAGAAGTTTGGGAGATTTGGCAAACAAGACAGTATCGTCTGCAAAAAGTATCAAATAAATTAAAAGTCTATTCAGGTTCATTACATTTGTAATAGTGATATCTTCAACAATATCATTAATAAAATAGAAATGAAATGAAGGGGATAAAGATGCGCCTTGTTTTACTCCTAACAAATTATCAAAGGCATCAGAAAGAAGTCCACCATATCTTTATTTTTGTAATTTATTTTTATTTTATCTAAAAAAAAGCACCAAGCATTGTGATACATGAATACATAGATAATTTATAATACATGTATTAATATTAAATTTTTCAATAACAGTTAAAAAGTTAAAAATGCTATTTTTTTATTATCTATATGATAATTATCTATTAGATCATACTCATCATTTATCACTCTGGATTATCTTACATGAATATGTTGATATTGTTAATGATGGCATCAGCCTTCTCCTCTTGCCATATGCATCACTGTCAATACTATGATGTTAAACATGAGAGGTACCAGGAGAGGCCAACAGAGATCATTAACAGATAAGGGTCAGACAGGACCAGTTGGACAGAATCACAAAATAAATAACAACAGTCAAAGACAACCTAAGTCAAGGGGAGATAATTCAAATACAATCAAGCAAAAACAAGTGTATCAATATATATATAACAATATCAATAAGCATCATAGATAGCACTTTTGTGATGCACACAAATCACTGTCCAGTTGTGATGCGCATCAACATATCATTAATTCTACATGAATTATTATAAAGCCTAAAGTGAGTACAAAAAAGAAAGATCTCTCCTCACATGTAAACTAAGTTTATAATCAATTCCCATTTACTATCAAATTTCTCTCTTGCTTTAGGGGATCTGTAAAAGGAGGTAGATATTTTTTTCTATTTGGTAGGAATTTTTAATCAAAACTATCGCCCCTGTAAGAGTCGGTAATGAAGTGTTAAAGCGACATGTATAAATATAATACTTAACCAGACTAGTGAATTAGTTAAGGGAAACATCCCAAGACTCTGACCCAAGAACAATAGTTTCCGCATTAAACATTAAAGTCAGATTATTTTTAACTTGAAAAAGTGCTGCAATTTCTAACCACAAATTTCTAACTTGGGTACATTCCCAGAAAAGGTGACTTATAGTTTCTTTAGTTTCATTACAGAAACTACATAAGTTAGTTTCTTTTAACCCATATTTCTGCAATAATGCATTTGTAGCGAGAGTTCTATGTAAAATCTTAAACTGGAACATACTAAATTTGTTGTTTTTATTGCAACAAAAGGGTAAACTATAAATGAAATCCCAATTTTCTATATGAGTGCTTAGTTCTTTACACATTTTGTCTTCTTGTTTTGTAGGACGTTCTGTATACATTGACAAGATTTTTTTTATAAAAGAATTGACATGACTTTTTATTGTTTTTAATAAATTCCAAATTATCATTAGATATGTGCATAATTTTCACTGAAGTAGTGATTAGATCCTTCCAGGCTTTTGGTATCATATGAAGTGTAGAATGGTATTCCAAGAAATCAATATTAAGATTATATTTTCTGCAGAACTCCTTTAAAGTAAAAAATTCACTATTTTCATCAAGTAAATCACCCACAAAGAAAACTCCTGATTCAACCCACCTCTGGTAAAAGACAGTTTTATTATTTATTGTCAAACTCTTGTTTAGCCATATGGATTGCTTCATGATCCCTTCAGCAGTGTCATTAGTGACAGTGTTTAGGATATTCCAGTTTAGTAAAATATCTTTCCAAAAATTATTAAAATTTGTAGAAATCTTTTGGATACCATCAGGGGTCATCAACCATATTTTGTCTGCTCCGGATCTGTTGTATTGATCTATTAACAGTGTTTTCCATGGGGATATATTCAAGGGGTCTAAAAGTTTATTTATTCATGTCATCTTTAGTGAATAACAAAAAGATCTTATATCTGGCATTTTCAACCCCCCTTTTTCATATAACCCTATCATAACTTTTCTTTTAATCTTATCTGGTTTTCCTGACCACAAGAAACTAAAGAAAATGTTTTGAATTTCTTGTATTTTATCAACTGGTGGGTTTGGCAAAACTGTCAATGACTGAATTAGAATAGGTAGAGCTAATGTTTTGAATTTATTTTATTTTATCAACTGGTGGGTTTGGCAAAACTGTCAATGACTGAATTAGAATAGGTAGAGCTAATGATTTAATAACAGTGATCATTCCCATATACGTTAAATCTCTATATACCCAAGAATTAAGTAAGCTCTGTATTTTGTTAATTTTTTCCACAAAATTTACAACTGTTTTATTTTCAATGAACAGATCATATTTTATTCCCTAAAGTTTAAATTTTCCTGAATAATTCCAGTTCAAATAACTTGTAATTGTTAGTTTATCCCTTGAGTGAATCTTTGACCCAATCCATATGGCTTCAGTTTTATCAAAATTAGCCCTTAATCCAGCACACTCAGAGAATTTTTCTAAAGTATATAAACATTTTTCTAAAGATTGCTCATTCTCGTCTAATAAAAGACATGAGTCATCTGCATACTGGCTTAGTAGATATTCTGAATCATTTATTTGCATACCATTTATCTCCGGGTTATTTTTAAGTGCAGCGCTCATAAGTTCTAAAGATAATAAAGATAAAGAGATAAAGGATCACCTTGTCTAACACCCTGACCAATATTAAAAAATTGAGAGCAGTGGCCATTGTTTATAATACAGCTCTGAGATTCTGAATATAAGGTCTTGACCCATCTATAAAAAATAGGACCGAATCCTAAAAAAGACAGAGCCAAGTCTATAAATGACCATTCAAGGGTATCAAAAGCTTTCTCAAAAATTTAATAAAAGTAAAAGACCTGGAAGATTATCATCTTCTGCCTTTTCCATAATGTCAAAAATAAGCCTGGTACATTCTCCAATATACCTTCCCTTTATGAAACCTTGCTGTGTTTCACTGATTATATCCCCAAGAATGGTTTTATTCTATTTGCTAAAGCAGCTGATGCAATTTTTGTACCAACATTTAGTGATTGGTCTCCAGTTTTTTAATTGAAATTTTGATTTACCCTCTTTTGGAATGCATGTTATAACTCCTTGTTTCTGACTAACAGAAAAAGTTCCAGTTTCTAAGCTATAATTGAAAGATTTTATAATAAATTCATGGAGGTCTATCCAAAAGAATTTATAAAATTCAGTTGTAAATCCATCCATTCCTGGAGATTTACCATTTTTCATATTTTACAATGTTTTTAAGCATTCATTAGCATTCAAATTACCCTCTGCCTGTAACCTCTGTTCATCAGAGAGTTTGCGGATAAACGGATTATTTTCATAAAAAAATAGATTTTTATGTTCTTGATGAAGAATAGGATTTGTTGAGGAGTACAATTTTTCATAAAATGATTTTTGTTCTTCTAAAATTTCACCTTGATTAAAAATTTCCTCTCCATTATCCTTGATTAATTTTGGAATTATTTTCTCATAATTTCTTTTTTCAAGATAACAAAAATAGTTAGTACATTTTTCACCTTCTGCTACCCATCTTGCCTTTGCTCTTGCCATAATACCTGTTACTATTTTCTCTCTGTGTTGAACAAGTTCTTCTTCTAAACTTTTAATTTCTGTATTTATTAATTCTGAGGGATCTATTTCATAATTTTCAAGTAATTTAGCTAACTTAAGTTCTAAATCATTTTCGGTTTTTGTGTTTTTCTTTTTTTATATAACTGGCATATGATATTGTTTTCCCTCTTATCTTACATTTTAAGAGTTCCCAAAACATGTGTGGGTTTACTGATAATTCTGTTTCTAGATTATTCCCAGGCAGAGAGTATTGATTTATAGTTTCCCTAAATGCAATTTTTTACCACCAGATCTTACTCGGAGACGCACAGACGCATAATTAGATTTAATAATGGCCACAAATTTACTGCTGACTCCATTTCGAAGTAATTTATATATCAAAATTCTCCTGCTTAATCTATCGAACGCTTTTCGAAAGTCAACGAAAGCGCTGTATAGTTTCATCTTTTGTTTAAGAATATGTACAATGATACCATGTAGAATAAAAATAGCATCAGTAGTCGAATGTCCGAGACGAAAACCAAATTGATTTTCGATTAGTTTATCTTCGTCTTCGGACCATACTAGAAATCGAGTCGTCAGAATAGACGTTAACACTTTGGATAAGACACTCACTAAACCAATGAGTCGATAGTTATTTGGATTGGTCAAATCTCTACTCTAAAGAACAGCAAAACCAATACCATCTGCCCAAGTATCAGGAAAAGTTCCATTTTCAAAAGAATAATTGAAAAGTTTATTTAGAATTGGAGAAAAGAATATTGGACTTTCAGAAACATTTCGCTGATAATTTGGTCATTTCCCGCGCTTTTGCCCAATTTAAATTTTGTTATCGATTTTACAATTTCATCTTCAGTAATTGCAGAGTCTAAGATATCTATGCCTATATTTTCAAAATGTTCATTATTTATCAAGTTCAATACTTCATTACAAAGATCAGGTGGATTTTCGCGCCGAGAACTCTTTCGAAATGTTTTAAAATCACATCATTTTCAATTGTGCATCGTGTTATATTCGTAGGCCTGATAGTGGACCAAAATGTTCGTGGGTCAGTTTTTGCATTGTCACAAAGTTCAATGTCCATTCACCGTTTATCGTTTATTTTGGGCTTGACGTTTTATCCTGTTAGCAACGACATGCAATTGTCTATTCACAGTTGTATGTCGAAAAAAGAAGTTTCGGACTTGATGAAAAATATGGCGCTCTGATTTACACTTTTCATCAAACCAATCATTGTTTTTTCTTTCTGTATTTCTATTGACTTCTTTAATTAGAACTGATCGACAAAAAAACTTTAAAACACTGTCATATAATATACGAGTGATCTCCTCTACAGATGTATTCAGGTCGTTTTTTGAAGAGATGTTGTCTGCCTGTGTTTGTAAAACTTCCATGTAATCATCATTTTTATTATAATCCTATTTATTTACTTGTGTAGTTTTGGATATTTGTTCTGTGGACAATTGTTTGACAAATTAAGTTTCAAAACTAATGGCGAAAATTTATATATTGATAAATATAAACAATAGATTCTTTTATAAACCGAATGGCCTAAAGAATTCTTATACTTGAACAGGGACGGATCAAGGATTATAGGTAAGTCAGGGCTCAACGATTGTAATGATGCAGAGCAAAACGAACATATGTTTAGCATTTAAAACGCAAATTACTTTTTTTTCAATTTTAAGGGTAATTACACGTCATCTGTGCGACATTTTCTAATGTTTGGTGAAATAAGAAGATATTATGGAAGCAGTTTTGGCCATTGAAATCGAAAAATAAATACATTATGATAACTAATTGAATAACATCCTGTAGACTATATCATCTATTTATATTTGTATCAATAATTAAAAATGTTTTTTTAAAGGATAGACCAATTGTTCTATGATAGCAGTTTGAGGAGTTTTTATTATATGAAAAAAATTAGAATATGATTTTGTTTGGTTCAATCATTAATAAAATTGAATGATGAATTAATATTTCGTTTTTAACAGCCAATGTCGTTCAAATTTGTCAAAATAATCAAAGAAATATCACTGATGAATTATTCACTTGCAAGTGAATAATTCGACCTCATTAAATCATCCGTATTCATGTGACCTTAAATTTAACCCATTAGCTAGAGAATGGTAACGTATGCATGAGTCGTGTTCAGCTATTAAAGAGAAAATAATGTCAACATTGAACATGTTGAAAGTGAAAGAAAGGCGAACCATTTCGTTGACAGATTCGATCAACAAAAAAAATCATTCTTATACAGGTAAAAGCGTTAAATAACTTATTTTTATGCCCACTTAGGGGCATTATGTTTTTACGGTATATGCGTCCGTCCGTTCGTCCGACTGTCCCGGTTCAGTATAAAGTTTTTGATCAAGGTAGTTTTTAACGAGGTTGAAGTCCAATCAACTTGAAACTTAGTACACATGTACCCTATGATATGATCTTTTTAATTTAATGCTAAATAAGAGTTTTGACCCATATTTCACGGTCCACTGAACATAGAAAATGATAGTGCGGATGGGGCATCCGTTTACTATGGACACATTCTTATTTAACCTATAACATGAAATCAAACTGACCTATGAAAATCCAATTGCACATGGTCGCAATCTATTCATTCTATTATCGAGTACATGTTTTTTTATCTGTTTATTTCAGACTTATTGTAATTTAGATATACGTTTTAGTATGTTATAAATCAAATATGAGAATTTGAGTCAAATCGGTGAACATGAATTTGTCAACTAGTGCCCCTTTAATCATTATTGAGCAAGCAATTCGTAATCCAATCTACTACACTTGATTAACAAAATGTTTTATTAAATTCCACATCTTCACTATTTGAATTTCATATTTTAATGAACCACTTATATCTACTGCAGCAATTCGCATTACCAGTCAATAACAATCACATTTGAAATCAATAATCGGCGGTCAATTTGTAGAACGATTTTGGATGCATTTTAGTATGGAAATTGCAAATAAATTTAACTATTTGTCGTTGAGCCATACTTAGTTGAAAAAACTGGTTATAACGAATGTAACGCTACTTGGTCCTATGACAAGCCGTATGCCGATGACAAATAACTTTACATTACCAAAATTTAAAAGATGACATGTATTGTAAAGTAAAATGAAATATCAATAATGAGAATCAGAATACATTGACCCTCTCTCTGAAACTCCAATTTGTTGCCGGATATTTTCCAATATGGCTATAAGTAATCCGTTATTGCCACTAATATCTATTCTGTAAATAAATATATGTATATATATATAATTAGTTACACATAGTATAACAATAGCATTGACAAATTAACAGCTATCAACGAAAATATTAGAACCAAACATTAAATTAAGACATAGGAAAACCAACATGTAAATATATATTAATAACACAAGCCATCCGCTGGTTCAAACACATTAACAAGAATAAACATAAAGAAATATGTCCTGCGGTGACATATGCATATACTCAAGATACAGCGACTGCTGATGGCATGCTAAAATTAAAATTGAGAGAAAAAAAACCGGAAAATTTAAAGAAATGTATTCAAGTAACTCATCAATTTAAATTCTCTTATAAAGACACTTCAGAAAATCAAACAAAATTGCGGAAGATAGATTTACCATTTGTGCTTAAATTTCCGGGGGCCTTTTTGCTGTGCTGATTCTGTAAAATTGTATTTTATGAGAACAAAAAGGACAGAGGCGGATCGGGTTTGACTGTCAACTTATTACCTGAAGGCGTTCCTTACAGTGAATCACCTAAATTTTCAAAAAATACTTGTTCACTGACCATTTTCATAGTAAACAGCAGCCAATGGAGTTTTCATTTTTGAAACTCAAACTTATTGATATTAATAGTAATGCAAAACATATTCAATGTTGGAAGGTGTAGACATCACATTACAGCAGCATACTTTATATAAATGTCTGTAACTCAGTCCCAAGCACTGCGTCTTTTTTTCAATTATGACTTAAAGTTGAACCTAATATCAAATTCCCAAGTATTCATTTGTGTCATTAAAAGTTATCAAAAACAAATTACATCTACTTTAAGATCAAATACTTAGTGTAAATAAAAAGCGATAAAACGTTTACTCACATTTTCCGTTACATTAACCTCTATAACATCCCTCTGTAGATCATTTTGGTACATATGATTGACATGTGTTTCTTCATAGATATGCGATTTAACTGAAAATTCAACAATTATAATTGATGTACGTTTTCTTAAAATTAACTGCAATATTTTTGTATAGACTTATTATTTGGTGAATGATGATTCCGTTTTCCAATATCGAGAAATTTTTTGGTCAAATAAGATATTGATCTACTTCGAATTAATTTCGTTTTTGGATCCGCTTGAACGATTATTAGCAAAAGTGAAGCTAATCAAAGACAAATATGTGATGGTATTTACATTCTGTTAATCGGATTGTAAAACTATAAATAGGATTAGAAAATCCAATTGTTTTGATGAAGAATTCTTTTTCTTTTCACACGCTTTCTACTATGGTTGACCCGGAAAAAAAATGCTCACTTTCTTTATTTTGCAGTTCCTTGCTGTAGTATTCATTTTAGTTTACACGTAATAAATGTGTCCTTAACACGCCCACTGACCTTAAATTATCTTGTTCTGTCTTAACTATTTAGGCCAATTCTGTTTTAACTTTTTAAAGAACTTTGCCTCCAAAACTTACCGTCTCGTGAATATCATATGCAGTTTATTCCAGAAACATGTGTCGTTTATATTGCAATTGGCAGTATAGATTGAACTATAGTGTCGAAATGGACTGTATGGTCGATTTAAACATAAGGAACATAAGAAAAGCAGAATATGCGCTCAACATTTTCATATTTCCAAGTTCAATTTTCAATTTTCAAACAAACTCAAAACCAAGGTAAAAACTTAATTCGGCATATCTTTTTACAAGTTTACATCATTACGGACTTGTGTAAAAAATTAAGTCAATGTAACGAAACCACAAATAATATTATACTCAACCAAAACTTTAACCTGTTAATACCAATGATAAATATGTTAGAAGGTATATTTAATCTTGAAGTAAGCCCTGTATGAAAAGTGAGTCTAAATAAAGGCAACGGTAGTATACCGCTGTTCAAAATTCATAAATCGATTGAGAGAAAACAAATCCAGGTTACAAACTAATAAAACTCATCATAGATACCAGGATTGGAATTGTGTATTTATTTGCGCCAGACGCTCGTTTCGTCTACAAAAGACTCATCAGTGACGCTCGAGTCATAAAAAGTTTAAAAGGCCAAATAAAGCACGAAGTTGAAGAGCATTGAGGATCAAACATTCCTAAAACCAAGAGAAACACATTAACTATTAGAGGAAAACAACGGAACAGCAGAAACACTGAAGTGCAGAAAAAATATACATAGAAACAGACTATTTGATAACAACTGCCATATTTCTGACTTGGTACAGGACATTTTAAGAAACAATGGTGGGTGGAACCTGGTTTAATGGCTAGCCAAACCTCCCACTTAAAATATATCGCTAAAATGACAACAATACGCGACAGGAATACAGTACAAACTAACCCAAGAACACTCAGCACAGATATACACATGAATAAATAATATGATAATACATTACAACATGTAGACCGCAAAATATGAACGGACATCTTCATTTAACGACAGCACAGGACACCACGACCAGTAACGTATTTTTTGTGACGTATATAAAATCAGGATGTTCATACAATTAAAAAGAAAGACATTCAAATTCACCATTATTTTCACAATGCTATGACGATCTTGAAACGCTATCTTAAATTAATGCTGTGACGACGTCATAATTATATGGACTTACACAATACTGTATCAATGGAAAATGGAAATTAACTCGACTATACTGACAAATAAGACATATGTGAACTGTATCCGAAATACAGAATTCAAACCAAAAACGAAAAGACATAACTCAATATCTAACCGAACCCACAAAAGAAATATCATATCTAAATACATGAATGTTGGATGTATAAATACAGAGAAACGTCGTATAGCAATGCAAAATGACACTCGGCAAAACAGTTATTTTCAGGAAGAGGTCACGTTCGGTACTTAGCAGACAGACGACATAGAAGTTAAACAACAATCTAAGATTTGGTTAAATATCATTAGTCAGTTTAGACACAGGCACATCATATAGATCAACCATTTCGTGAAAGGGTCAATACAATTTACGGAGTTTCATTTTTAAAAAGGTCAGATTATGAAGCAGTCCTTCTAGTATCAGTAGTATTCTCAATTTCAAGTTCACTAGGATATATGAGATGCAATTACTGACTGAAATATTAGTTTTTCAGTGATAAGACATCATCAATATATATCTGAAAGTAAAATTAAAGAATTTCGCAAGGTGCTTTATCTTTTAGTCTTTCAGAAGATTCTGAATGAATTCTGCTTCATATGACTACAAAAACAAATCGACGATAAGGGGTGCTTAATTAATATCAATTGGAATACTTACTGTCTGTCTGTTGAAATAACAATCCTCCAAACTCAACAAATATATTGTCAATTAAAATATATTGATAATATCATCTTTAGTGTATTTTCTGATAGAATCAGCATAATTCTTCACAAAATAAAACATATTATAACCCAAAACAAGAAATTTATATCTTCTATTCCCTTTTTTTATAGAAAAAAAGCTCTGTTTAATGAGATGGTAAAGTGGATCTTTCAATTGAGCATGGGGAATAGTAGTGTAAAGCGTATACAAATCAAAGGTCTTAATGTTGCTGCAAAATTGCAGAGATTGTGATCTAAGATTTAGCAGTAGAATTTTTGAGAATCAACATCTGATTGACTCCACTGGTTGAATATATCTTATCACACTATTTTTGAAGGCCTTCTTTTACTGAATAAAGAATCGTAGTCAGCACTTTAGAAAAATCTTTAGTAGAACATCATGATGATCCAGCTATGTATCGTTCTTTCTACACAGTTTTGTAAAGTTTTAGTATCCAGTATAACATGTATAATGACGGTAGATGTTCTTCGTTTTCTTTGATGTTCATACCAAAAGAAAGGAGGACGAATTTGTGATTTTGTAAAATTTCATCTTCTGTTAAGATGTTAAAGAATATATCGGAATACCAGTTTTGCTGTTTATTCCAAGCTATTTTGAGACATTGCAAATACTAATTTTTACATACAAAAATAATATTATTGGAGGCTTCATCAGCTTGGACAACGACATTTTTGTCATGCAAAGAAGATAAAGCATTCACAACCGCCGGGTTCCCGAATGGGTTACAAACCGTTGATATCATAGTACATGTACATAGTAGTTATTGAATGCGCTTCTGATTGCATGATCAAGTAGCTTGATCCTTTCAGACAAGCGTCCAGTTCTGGTTCAAACCGAGGCATAAACTTGCATTCAGTGACAATTGTGATAAACGTGAGATAATATAGTCGTACGCTACAAAATAAGATAATTATCCGAACGGTCTTAGATTGACGTTTCCGACGGACGTTTTCAGAAATAGAAAACAAAATGCTCCCGATTCAGAAAGTAATTTGCAATCAAAAAGCTAAAATGATGATTATAAGACAAAATTAACCAACATATCAATCTCTACAATTCCCTGCTACACCATAGACCGAATGAGACGACCGATGTCTATCGATGTACTGGCATGATAACTTAAAAACGCTGCTGTTAAACAGCTGATAACCAAAGTGCATTAGGATTTTGTTTTTTAGATTGTAGGTTTTCTATGATTTTTGTAACTGCATATTGAAGTAATTGCAATGAATGTGAGCAACAGAAAGCAACGAAGTTGAGAAAATACTTAACCTTTTATACATATGATGTACATATAGTTTTCTAACAGAATGTTAGTTTCGAATTGACTTGTCATTACTTTTCGTGGTTAAAATTGCTTGTGTGCGCTAGAAATAATTAGGATAATAAAACTTTTCAAGGAGGCAGTATTTAAATTTGCAGAAGGGAAACAAGAAAGCGATAAATGCGCATATGCAAAATACAGATTATTTTTAATTCATTGATATATGATTTCTGATAATTGATTTTTTAGTGTAATGGGGACTTCCTCCCATTCTATTTATATGTAAGACTTTTCTGCTTTCTGCCAAGTGTTTGTTTTGAACTTTGCATGCATGTACATGTACTTCGATGTATTTCAATATAATAATTTTAGAGATTTAATTACTAACCTCTCGTGATATCTGTTATGTCATATTTCGGCTCCTTTTTAGAGTGGTACCATCTCCTAAGAAGATAAAGTAAGATACAATGTAATTTTTGTATCACTCAGGTATATAGCACTTACTTTACAATCAATATAATTATTGTTAGTATGTATAACGAGTGAAGCTTGAACCTACTAGTATTTGGAAAGTACCGACCCCGTATTTGTCGTATAAGGTAATATAACAAACACACTGTGTAAAGAAGTTGTCTTACCAATTAAAAATAATTCAGATGGGGAACTATGACGTAGTCGTAAATCTAGAAACCACAATTTTAAAACAACATTCAACAGAATTTTCAATTATTTACAGCGAGAAAGTCTGCGTCCTTATAACAAGTGTTTTGTCTAAAAGCATGATAAAATCATGATCATGGATGTTTACAATGTATGTTAATTTGAAAACAAAACCATCGTATTTTTAAAGGACTGTAACTCTACTACTAACGGTGTGTTTAAAATAATTCAAGGCCACTGACCGTGTATTTAAACAAAACACGCCTGCGGACCTTATCTTAAAGATAAACGGTTCCCTCGATTTAAAAAAAAAAGACTCAAAATAATAGAAACTTTCTTCATTATTTATAGTATGTATTTTGTTTATATTAATCAATAGCGCATAAAACTTGAATCGGCTTTAAGTTTCTGACATGAATTCCCCAAAGTGTTTCCATCTTATATATTGGTGCATGTATTTGTATCACTAAAACATCGTTAAACGAAGAATCGGTGTTTCACTATCAGTTTAATAACTTTCTTTTGTACTATATTTTGTCCACTATAATGAGTCACAACTCGATAACGGTTTTATGTAATTATATTTGATACTCGAGTAAATGTATCTTGATTGGGGAAAGGAAGGTTCTGAATAATTAGATTAATGCATCTACTTTTACACCATATGCTTTTAACCTTATGGGTTTGCCTCTAAACAGAGTGTATATTGTGTTGTTCATAATACTTTTCGTTATTGTAAAGTGTTTCTTCGTTGAAGAGAGATACAATGCCAAAGGATCAATCGTAAATCACATGTAATTTAATTTACATTAATTTCGAACAAATACTGAAGCAGTACTTAAAACGTCAAAACGCTATTAACAAAGTAATATACATATCAAACGAGAAGTTTTACTCATTAACTTGAGAAATTGAGCATTGTAATATTAATAAGCATCAACATAAGTTTGATGATGATGATGATGGCTTTAGATGAATTTGGCTATTTATTTTAGGTATTTTTTGACATATAGCTCTTCAACGGTTTCGGTACTTATACATCTCGGATTTCAAATGTTTGGCTTTGAGCGTTCCTGATGAAGGTAAATCCAGAAAAGCGCTTCGGACGCAAGAAATTTTTTAACGTGTTGTTTTCAATTTTTTACATCACTGGGTCGATACCTCTGCTGGTGGACTATCAGTCCCCGAGGGTATCATCAGCTCAGTAGTCATTACTTCGGTACTGACATGATTAAACAAACTTTACTAAAATTGTCCGTTTGTAAATTTTGAAATTATGAAGAAACTAAGGTTTCAACTCCCTCAGGCAAAGTTGGCTTTAGATGAATTTGGCTATTTATTTTAGGTATTGTTTTACATATAGCTCTTCAACGGTTTCGGTACTTATACATCTCGGATTTCAAATGTTTGGCTTTGAGCGTTCCTGATGAAGGTAAATCCAGAAAAGCGCTTCGGACGCAAGAAATTTTTTAACGTGTTGTTTTCAATTTTTTGAGATCACCCTTATTGGTAACCTGTAAGATATGTACAGTACATGTTGTCTTATTCGTATTCGGATTCGAGGTCCGATACTTGTTTTTAACCATCAAGTCCGTTTCAAATGGGAAATTATTTTTGTATAATTATTTTCTGAACGATCCTTCAACGACTTTGCAGTATCATTACTTAATGTACCTTTTCGCATAAATAACCACAAGTATTATTACTATTCCAATGACTACGACACCACTGACTGTTCCAACTACTATTGGTATATTTGTTGATTGTTGTTCTTCTAGAACTGTAAAAAACAATTGGTTGTAATTTTCTTAATTGCAACGAGCAAGAAGTTAAAATTATTAGCATTATATATAATTCCGTAAATTACAAACATTATAATACGTCATAAATTACATATGAACATTACAAACAAAATACTCTATACAACTCAGGCACTATGGTAAAATCAAGTTTCAATTAAAATGGAGTAATACAATTCCATACTTTTGGCACAATCTTCTGTTAGACTTTAAAAAACTGTGTTACAACATTGTCTAAAATTGAACAGGACATGTCATTATGACAGTTAATACATCGGACACATATTGTTAGATGCTTGTGTGATGCGATGTTCATCACCTCGTCTACCATGAGGGAATATGTTTGATTTTTCCTCATTTCATTATACACTTTTTCTGGGACCTCATTATTTAGTAATTGTATGAGCTCAGCAACGATTTCTGCGCTAGTATATTAGGCGTTTTTGGCTAATTTAAGCATTTTCAAGTTATCAGCTCTAAGGTTCAATCATGATTCACTAAATCAGAAATAAATTAAGGGACAAATTGTGTTGCACAATAAGTTTTACAACCGTTTGTGATCCAGGTAATTTTCATTTTAAATTCTGCACGAAGTGAATTACATATTGTAGCCGGTGACTTGTGATTTGTAAACTATCAAAGCCTAAATGATGGCCACTGTTGTGCCTTTTACATGGCGATTCTGTTTTATGTTGGCTTGTTTCGGGTAATTTCATGAATAAAACTATTCGCAGTTTTTTTAATTTTTGAATTATGAAATAATGGGAAATTAAGTCACCTGAACATGATGATAATGTACAGGAGTTGAAATCATATTCTTCTCCTTGACAATAAGCGCCGCTCTTTGTTGGATAAGAATTTTTACAGTATCGTCTCCTACTATGTTGTCCATGTCCACATGTGACGTTACATACTCCCCAAGAATCCCATGCCGACCATCCAGTATCAACTTGAAGAATATAAAATATTTACTTAAAACGATGGTTTTTTTTTTTCTAAATTTCATCTATTTGCAGTCGAAGTGATTTTTTCTTTTTTTATTTAGGAATAATGAAAATCATCTGAAATATTCTACTAACGAAGAACCAAATATGGCTTTGTGTTCCATATCAAAATAGCAATAACATTGGGTTTTTTTTTTAAATCAATAAGAAATTTATCCTTATACACGTTATCCACTTTGGCCACTTTTGCCGTCATTTTGCCAGTGCTTGATTTTTACAGTACTGTAACGTATCATGTGTTGTCCAGTTCCACATGTTACTTGACAATCTCCTCATCGAATACCATCATCCACACAAATAGTATTGATCATTTATTTATAGTAATAATAAGATTTGATAGCCTTCCCATGCAGACAGTGTACAGAAATTATTATGATTTCACTCCCTCGGGAATATGTGCCACCGCTATGGATATTTTCAGTAACGTCTACGTATTTGTCATCAATTCCTGCGTGTTTCGATACATGCTCAACAGATTTTCCAAGACGGCAATCTGCCATATATAATTGGGTGAACTTATATGTGTGTATATATGTCTATAATTGAAATGTTCTGTGCTTTTTTTTATTACTGTTTGTGTTTACCCCACATTGTTTCATATCCCTTACTTTGTTTTTACGTGAAGCCCTATACATGTACAGGTACAAGTATTCCTTAATCCAACCATTAAGTTAAACAACTAGTACAGTAAAATAATTATCTGTTCATTGAAATTTATTTAGTAATATAAAGATCAAATAACCTGGACATAAAGATGGTGAACACGATCTGTATTCATAACCTCCTCCTTGACAACTTGCGCCACCATTTGCTGGTCTAGGATTGTTACAATAACGTCTTCGTCTGTGTTGCCCAGTTCCACATGTAGCTGTGCAAGCGTCCCATGTCTTCCAGGTCGACCATCCACCATCAACTAATGATATATGAAATACGTGTTTCAAGAAATATATGTGAATTCGATATATGTAATTATCTTACCTCCTATACATTTCTAGTAATATGATTGGTTAAAAGCAACCTCGTAGAGACCGGTTACATTCCATATTAGGTTAGTAGGCGGGGCTTACTTCATACATGGTTTGTAGTGGTGTTATGTCCCTTTATACAAACAACACTGTGTTGAGAAAAAATATCTTTGAGGTTTCAACAGACGATTGAATTGATAATGAACGATTGAAATAAATTCATAAACACATTCAAAGCTAACAAGTTGTCATTGTTGGCATTTGTTTTTGTAATGACCATTGGAAGTAGGTTCCAAATACTAACGGTATTTAAGACTTGATCATTTTTATAAGCCACTAGTCTAAATACCACATGTTAAGATAGTCGATAAGATAAATTCGTTACATAGTGTGCTAGTGACCTAGTACGATATATATGGGGTCAGTAAATTCCATATGGGGATTCGAGCTTCGCTCTCACCCCATATGGAATTTACTGACCCAATAATATATTGTATTAGGTCACTAGCACACTACGTAACTAATAATACCAGAAGTATAGAGATATAAAATTACCGTGTAAGTGACAAACCACAATTAATATGAATAAGCATCTTCGCTCTCACCCCATATTGAATTTACTGACCCCATATATATTGCATTAGGTCACTAGCACACTATGTAACTAATAATACCAGTATTATAGAGACATATAATTACCGTGCAAGTGACAAACCATAATTAATATGAATTAGCATAAGGAATATATTGTAAAAGTAGGCTTTCTATGAAATTAAATAACTTACTTTTGATTTTGCTGTTTAATAAAAAGATACCAAAATATTTGCACACATACAACTGATGCTAAAAGATGCATATTTTGCCATTTTGAGACCAGATTTACGTTGGTCCATAAAAACTGACAAAATCAAACAGAACGAGTGGAAAACTACTGTAATATACGAGCGACATGGAAAATGTTTATATAAAGAAATCAAATTGCAGTGTTGGACCAATGTATAGAACGTTGAATCCGAAGTATGAAATGTTCCATAACACATACATTACCTGCTACAGACAACTCTATCAAATGACTCATAGAATATGTACCACCAGTAGTAAATCCTTCACATCTATAGAAACCTTCATCCGTCAGCTCAAAGTTTTTTATTGTTAGAGTTTTATTTGATGTACCGTTATATTTGTCGCCATTGTTTAACAATTTAGTTCCACCAATAAATTTCTTATACCAATGATATGCTATCAAACTTAATGGACATTCGAGATTAGTTGTCGATCCAATCGAAGATGTTCCTGTAAGAAATTAATGTAAAGTTTGAAAATAAGTACGAAAAATAGTTGTCCTGTTATAAATACTATTTATGAATGAAAATATCCGGCATCACTTTTTTGTTGCATTTCTACTGCCTTCATTTATTCACGTATCCTCCCTCTTCAAATTTGAGTGTAAGTTTTTAAAGTCAAAACCATGGATGAGTTCATTAATTAGAAAATTCTGAACCCAGGGAACATTTAACCAGGAAGGGCGACTTATATGTATGTTCCATATCCGAGATAGTGCCTTCCTTTTTATCACATCCTCTTCAAATTTGTATAAAGATTCTCACTCATTAAAACTTCGAATGAGTTTTTTTGGAGGGCTCTTTAAAATGTCCAATATTAATTAACTTCGGCTAAATTTCGATTGCTTTAGATTTATAAAACTAATGGTCCTACATCCTGTCGATGCTAATATGTACTTATGGTTTTGATATTGCATAAGGCTATGCATTTCTCTGACTGTTTATGACGCCTTTACACTAAATCCAATGGTTGATACTTTAGTCTAGGTTACATGGTTTATTTAGCAAGACATTTTTTAACCAATCATGGTGCCCAAAATTTGAGCTAAAACAATCAAATGAATTATTACAAAATAAAGTACAGTAAATGATTAGAATGATTAGAGGGTTGTTATTGGCTTTTTGCTAATTTCAACTAAATTTTAGAGGGTACTCTGAGTACTTACAAACATGTGAAACCCCGCCTCTCATATAAGACAATGTAATAGCATTATCTATGTAGTATACGTGATTATGGCTACAAATGCAATCGAACACATTGAAAGTGAATTCCATTGTCTTTGTCACAGTCATGACTGTCATAAAGTTGAGAATAGAAATGGGGAATGTGTCAAAGAGACAACAACCCGACCATAGAGCAGACAACAGCCGAAGGCCACCAATGGGTCTTCAATGCAGCGAGAAACTATAGCATTTGTACACTTCAAAATCATAGATCAAGCAAGTAGCTTTGATTTTTATGCTTAATTATGCCAATTTTCTTGTGTAAATACAACATGCTTAGAATTACCAAAAGCAAAACTTTTGGTAGCTATCAGTAGTTCACAATGCATGAAAAGTTTTACAGACGTTTGTCCTGTTAAATACTTCCCTCAGCTTTTCAAAAAAAAAATGTTGTATATATATATCATTATATCATTTTGTCATATATAACATGCCGTTAGTTTTCTCGTTTGGATTGTTTTACATTTGCCATTTCGGGGCCTATTAAGCTGACTATGCGGTATGGGTTTTACTCATTGTTGAAGACCGTACGGTGACCTATAGTTGTTAATGTATGTGTCATTTGGTCACTTGTGGAGAGTTGTCTCATTGGCAATCATACCACATCTTCTTATTTTCATTTTTGTAGATTTTAAGCGTGCATTTGATTCCGTTTCACATCTGCGCCTTTTTTAATAAAGGTGCATGTAAATGTGTTGGAACAAAGTTTTATGACATTATAAAATGTACGTTTGGAAACACAGAAACCTGTGTAATAATAGACCAACACAGGACAAACCTCTTAAATCAAATATAGGAGAAAGACAACGGGATAATCTTAGTCCCTGCCTCTTTAATATATATTTAAATGATTTGCCAACCCATTTTGAACAAACATGTTACCCAATCCCATAGAATACACACAGAAAATATTTCAATGTTTGCTGATGAAGTAGTTCTTTTATCAGCATCTGAGCAAGGACTTACAAAATGTCTTAATATTTTGGAAAATGACAATAAACACCAACGGCTGTTGTCTGCTCTATGGTCGGGTTGTTGTCTCTTTGACACATTTCCCATTTCCATTCTCAATTTTAGCTCTACCACAAGCAAAAAACCCTAGCTGTTAAATATAAGGACATACACCACAGGCACGGGTACACATTCTACAGTTTGTTTCATTTTAGAATATATGTGATAGAACATATATATGAAGCTGTCAACGGTTAAACCAAGGACTGCTGAAGTAGATTCCATTTGTATGAATCCTTATTGGTTTGAATTACTTTTGTTTATTATGGTTGGAAGATCTTGCTCTGCTGTTTGATGTAATTAGACGATCTTAATGGTAGATTGATATTGTATTGTAAGTATTCTGGGAAACTGTTTATGTAAATAAGGACTAGACTTGAGCTAAGGACAGTGCACTGTGTCACTAGAGATGTTACCCCAATGTTTTTTAATTGTTCTCCATCTGTTATGACTGTCGGTGTAAATGTGTGTAAAAAAATACCAATCAATTCAAAGATATAACTGTCTTTTCCATAGTATTTTGATCAGTACAATAGATTTTTATGAGGGACTTTTTCAAAAGCTTTGTCAAAGTCCATCACCATGACATCAGTTTGTATGTTTAAAGTAATGAATTGTGCCAGGTCCTGTATAAAAGATATGCATTGTGTCTAACATGAGCGTTTAGATCGAAAGCCATGCTGTAGATCGTTAAAATTTATTGGGGTTTTTTCAAGGTGTTTCAGTAATTGACTACCTATGATTATTATTTATTTTTATTTTGTCCCGTTATTTTAAAAAGTATCATGTTAGTGAAATGGGTCTGTAATTTATGGCATTTTTTTTGTCTCCTTTTTTTAAAATAGGACAGACGTTTGTATGTTTCCAGTCTGTAAGTATTTTGTGTGTGATATTTGAATGATGAGTATGATGACTTGACTAAGATGATCCTTTATTACCTTTAATACCTTGCTAAATAATTCATCAAGTCCTATGGTCTTGTTTGGGTTGATGTAGGAATTTGTTGACGCCCTTTTCTGATATAATAATTTCATTCTTTTGTGCATGTGATGAAACTTTAGATTCTTTACCGATACTGTGTTTAACCGTTTGCAGATGATTGAGTGGTAAAGCATGCATGTTTGTTCATAAGAAAGAATATTACTGATCTACCCGTTTTATCTTTTTAAAATATTCAATCTTTTTTGTGTATATTTCAAACAGAGTCTAGTTGTATTTGTACTATGATAATGATGCAAGATGAAATGAGTGGAAGATGTATTACAGATTTACCTACCAGCATCAGACGAATAAACTTTCAGAAAGAGTAAAACGACAGCTTCCGGTATTAGCTTCATAATAATAAACCTAACCGGGAAGTTAAACATTAACCCGATGATATTTTAAAAGTAGTTGGTAGCTAGACCATGAACATGAGTAATAGATATATATATTTCTTTTCGTTGGAATTCAGGAATTCCCCTAGTGGTTAGTATAATAAGTTATACTATTTGTATGTTCAAAGTTGTAAAACGGGTTCTTATTATTTTGGATTTCGATACATGGATTATATATGTACGTGAAATCCTTTGGCGGTTTAAAGGATGGGGTTCCGTTATTCTATGTAAAGAAATTGTTGCTGTGAGTTCATCGAAGGTGCTCACAGTAACTACACCATACAGTTTGCTGTTTATTGTCATATTTATGAATATGGATCATATAGATATTACGTTTATTTACATATAATGATGTGTTGGACAATTTTGTTGTATGATAATGTCAATTTGAATATTGTTATTGAATTAGATATGATTTTTCTGTTATTAAACATTGTTTGCTAGAGTAAAAAGAACAAGATACCGCCAGCAACCAAATCTATATTATAGTTTTGTCCGATTAATACTAAGAAATTTATGAAAGACATTTTTATTTAAATCAAGACGAGCATGGCAAATGGGGATTTAGATTTTGTAAACAAAAGTAAAGAACAAAAGAGTCTTTCATGGAGAATAATTTAGTTTTTAAACCTATTTTTTGATAAATTCGAAGAAAGCCAGGTCGAGATTACTTACAGTTTGTAGACTTTAAACTATTTTTAGATACAAATGATAAGATATACATGTAGTTCGATCGACAGTCAGAACTATTCCCCCAAATAAAAACAAGAACAAATCTCACCATCGACAGTAATCGTATGAAATTAAAACCGGACACGGAACATTACTTCATGGCAGATCAGAACAGGCTTTGGTTTATATAGAATCTATCAATACATCGTGTGTGATACGATATTTCGCCACCCGAGAAAGTAAACCTTTCAAATTTAGAACGCAAGGCTCGCCGAGCGTTTGAAATATTCAAAATTTAGCTGTCGAGATTGGAGAAATATCGTATTACATGAGATTTGGTGGTGAACTCTATTTGTCTAATTATTTTTAGACGATATACAGACAAACTTAATCCTTCTTTACCAATGATCTGCAAAACGATGTGTTCTTTTTATGTAACGTAATCAGACTTGGTCGCCTTTTTTCGGGACATCACAATGAACAACTCAGAGGAAAGCAACAAAAATTTGACGTCATATTTGAATTTTAACCAATGAAGAATTGAGATCAAACAAACCACACGTTGATTACATAAAACTTTTCAACAGGTCAGGCAAAGGATAAATCGTCGAAGGACAAGAAAAAGTAAATATACACAAAAGAATACAGATGTATAATGGATTATAACCATGTCCATATACATGTATAGTCAATACATAAATTCAATCAACATGTTTGGAACTTGAACTCGCCGTCAGCTCTCTGAAAGAAACTATAATACTAAGGAAATTTTGTGTTTAAAAAAGTTACTGATAATTATGAATATAGAGACGATTGATTCCCGACAAAATGACAGACTGAAGCTCTCAAACAAATTCTAAATTATTCGAATGCTAGTTACTGTCAAGCGATTTGGCACATACCAATTCCTTTAACTCCCTGCCCCTTTAGTGCAAATAATATTTTATTGAGAAAATATTAACATAATATTTAATTCAATATGACAGTTTTATTAGGATTGGAAAACCCTCTTTACACAGATAAACCTTGAACTGTTATAACAGATACAACAAATAACCTATATTTGGGGCAGCATCCAACTTTAAAATGAACACAAAAATAATGACACAAACAATCAAGTCTGAGATAACATTCAAAGACGCTTTTAAAACCTTGGAACACCCTACCTACCTTTTTTTTAGTTTCGAACAGTAAGATTACAAAAGGATCATAAATACGTGCAGTGAAAATTCGATGATCTGTTTCAGACGACAAAACACAAGTAAAAAATATTAAAAAATACGCATTAAGAAATAGATACGCCTTCTTTAGATTTCATTGACTGGTTAGAAATTAAGCTAAAAATAACTTATATTTGATATACTAATCCTTCTTACGAATATTCTTATATCGACAACTGTAAAATAGAGAAGAAATAATACAGCCATGTCATGTCATTTAATAGTTCAAAAAAGAAATCATATGCGATGTAGAATGCCCATTGGTTTTGTTTTTAAAGTATAATAGAATTTCAATATTTTATAGTTCTTTACATTACATATTGATTTAATAGTTGCTTGATTTCTGGTGAAATAGAAAAAAAGAGACAGGAGATACTCAAAACTCGTAAGTCAAAAGAGAGACCGACAAAATCATGGACAAACAACAAAAATGACTTACTATCTGCAATGTCGCGTTCTTGACTATAATCAGGTAGCTCAGTCGGCTCGTCGAGACTTTCAACATCGTCGATATTTTCGCAATCAGAATAGGTGGGGGCTCCGCACGAACTGGTGGGAGGTCAGGAATAGGCCCAGGACGGTTCTCTTCAACATGGTCATCGCAATCGGTCTCCTGGTCGTAATCGTTTTGAGAAAATCTCTGAGTTTGGTGAACGTTTATGGAGTTTAAAGCTATAACATTCCGAAAGTTTTACTTTGTAGGAAGAGGCGCGGAGTTGATTGCCTGAGAATATTTTGATGAAACACCATTCGCCATCCAGCACTACTACAAGGTACCGATCTCTCGATTGCGTCTTTGATCTGTCGGTATAAAGGTAAACTAAATCCCCTATAGAAATGTCAGGGATCGGACGACCGGGTCTACTGCATTTCGAAATTTCGCTAAATCCGTGATTTTTATTTCGGGACACGTGTTGTGCGCAAATAAGGTTCATGTCAGAAATTGGTAACTGTTCACGAGTAAACTGATTTCTCTGAGTCCATAGTTCGCGGGAGGACAATCCACGCTGGCAAAGCCTTGAATTAAGTCTCGTGGTAGCAATAACTAGTGTATTTTCAGATAGAGGAGACTGACCGCGTTCTTCACGAAGTAACTTGTCTTCAAGCTCAGCAATAGCTTTATCGGCAACTAGATTTTTGTTCCGATTTTTTACGAGACCAATTTTAATTGATTTGTTGAGCTGCTTTAAATAGGAATCATCACATAAAAGGGCGAAAACCTGGGGCCGGGTCAACTCGAACGCTACGTGGAACTATGATCAATTCGTTGGGAGGAGCAAGGGGATCACAACGCCGAACAAATAGCAAACCGTCTTTGGCAATTGATGCAACATTCAGGTAACGTTTGACGTCTTTGATGTTTGTCAGTTTTTTTGAAGGCCTAGTGCTTTGTTTTAGATGAGCGTGAGTGCGCCTTAGATCGGTGCATTCTGATTGAATATTAACCCAGGCCGACCTGGTCGTGAAAGGAAGGCGGAATTCATCATTGAGAACGTCTTGAATGTTCACTGCTCTTACAACAGAATCTTCGGTACGCGATATAAAGCAACACACCTGACTATTGGGCTCTGTACACAATGGTGCGTTTCTACTTGCAAAGTCTGACGGAACGTTTGTTCGACTGGATAAATGGTTGACGCTGACCTGGTACCGGCTGACGACGGAAAGAAACGTAGAAACGCGTGGACTGGCTGAAAATTTGCCGCGGCATAGTTTTTTCAAAGCCCTGTACGCACGGTTTTCTGCCTGTTAACACATTAGCTTGGAGCTGCGATTGAATGATAAAGGGACTGAAATGTTTGACACTGGAAGCAATACAAAGTGCCTCGATTTCGCACTTAATGTTTACGAGGTTTAGCACTAAAAAAAACCAGCTAGTGACACCTTACCGTTACGATTTATGTATAATGATATATCGCTCCGATTCTGCGTTTAGTAACCGAGCCGTCGGTGACTATCCATAACTGATCAATACGTTTAGGTAGCATGATAGATTTGCGTAAGTTAAGGGAATTTTGGGCAAACTCAAAATGCTCTCTCAGTGTATCGGTCCAAATAATTTTATCTGCTGATTTCATACCACTTATTTTCTCGTGTAATGGGGCTACAAAGTTAGATCAATTCGGTATAACGCGGCTTATCATCTTGTAAGCACCGATAAAGGATCGAAGACCAAGCACGGTATCAAGTGTCGCTACTCGGTGTAGGCTAGCCGAAATTGAGCCTTGTGACCATATCCACCCTAGGATTGTAATCGATTTTGGACAAATTACCGTCTTGCTAGGTGATAAACAAATCCCGGATTTGTGTAGTGATTTAAGAACGCTTTCCCAATTTTGTAACAGCTCTTCTGGGGTATTACCTCCACAAAATAGATCATCCGCTAACTTCGTTACGAATCCTTTTGGAAAAAAATCCCCCAATATGCAACACATGAGGTCTTCAAGAGCCGTCTCTGAACCTGGCATTCCCATCGCGCAACGCGTGTACACACGAACCCCACGATAAGGGGTTGCGACTCCGCAATATTTCATTGACTCTTTTGCCAGGGAATTTTGATAAAATGTGCTAGTAAGGTCAGACTTAAGCTTGATTATGTATTTCCATTGTACGACTGTACGGAGGGTCGAGTCAACGTCGGGCATGAGAAAGGGTTGGGGGCTTACTATAACGGTCAACACCGGCGAACGCTGTTACAAGTCGGGAACCACCGGATGCTTTTTTGACAAGAAAGGACAGATTAATGTATACGACTGACATACCTATGTCCTCGGAAAACCCCCTTACATTCCAATTCATCAAATTTGTTTTGGAGCTCAACTAACTTGTCCTTTGAATATTGTGGCATTCGTCCTTTTTGTTGGGGAGGCTGGACAGGACCCATAGATATTAACAGATGCTTCAAAGGGACCTATCGCATCATTATACACTGTAAAAAATTAGAAGGTATGCGTTTAGTCTATGTACGTATTTTCGTTGATTTCACGGACGCATACAGTAGATTCAGGGGACTCGTCGACGGTTGTTGTGAACCGCACTCGACATAGATGTTCATTTTGTTGTATGAACTGTGGCTCCGTTGTGTTATTAATGAGGTTTATTTTTCCGGAGACAGACTGAGCAAATTGCGGACTTGGCCAATCTTTTGAATAAGAAGGATCGACATGAGGCTCGATTGCGAGTACGCTATCTGGTTCTATATAAGATGGGACTTCGTATTCGCCATAGCAACCTGGCCAAACTACTGAACTAGCAGAAGGAGCCCGGAGAAGAATGCCTCAAGATCTAGATCTAGTCCGTCTCTCAGTGTAAAATGGCATTCACCAACTATTTCTAACGGAATAACGCCGTCTGCTTGTAAAGCGGAGTGGTTGTATTTTTTAATCGTAACGCCGATGTTCTTCGCGGAAGATGCCTATATCATACTAACCTCTGGCCCGATATCTAGTGTGAGTTGGAGGGGAAAATATTTGTAAAATGCCTTAAAGTAAGGGGACTGTTTAGTGCTCATCTGTCTTAAAGAAGAAACAACTCTAAGCTTACTAGGTACTACATTTTCATTTAAAATTGATGATAAAAATGGTTCATTATTATAAAAATTGTCCTCAGACACGCTATCACCTACTTCAGTACAATTAGATTGTCTAACTCTGGACATATATTGTTTGTTTTCGTCTGGTAAGTATTTACAAGAGCTTAAAAAATGTTAGTAAGAACGGCCTGCTTGCTTACATAAAATACAACACTTTGTTTGACAACCAGTTCTGATAATACCTGACTTCCTTGCACTTCTTTCGAAAGGCTTGTCCTTTAAAAATGCAAGCTAAAGTTTTAGATCGCAGATCTGTTCCATATCGCTGTTTAACTAAGTCTGGAAAATCAAGATGAATAAGTCTAAGCCAAGTAAGCACAATAAGATTTTCCAAAGAAGGTGAAAGTTCTTCGTCGGCATTAGAAACATCTCCATGGTGCTGTATAGTACCACCGGCGCGAAGTAAATTATCTTCAATGAAACTGGCCAACCGCTGAAATAAGTCCTCTGGACATTCATTAGGTTCAAAATGGATGTTATCAAAGTCCAGAAAGTGTCCACCAGTTGATTGAAATCAGTAGTGAAGAAGAATTGATTGCCAAATCGAATTGATAGACGTTAAATATTTGATTATATTATTTCTAGACATGATCGGGCAGTAGTTTGCTATTTGCCCCAGCATTAAGTCTAAATGAGTGCACTTTTGGGCGGCTGTTCGTCTGTTGGCTTCGGTAACCGCCTCGCCGTCATCAGCAAATCCACGCAAATGATGGGCGTTGGTTTTCTTTTTCCATGTGAATCTATCCACTAGAAATTCTGCAAAATTTTGGTCAAGAGATAATGTATATTGTAAATTTTGTCTCCATGCTTCGAACGAGGTAATAGTTTCTTGTTTTGTGAGTGCCCATTGTTTTAGAGCACGTGTGCCTGCCATGTTTCACAGATCGATGAATGCAACAATAGAAAATGTTGGCTGTGTTCGTCTCAGATGACAAATTCTCCTGCTTTTCTTTTTTTCATTGAAGAATGGCCAAGAGCTGTACGATTCAGCTGTGGGTAAGCTTTTGACCGCTGCCACCACGCCAATAAGCAGAGAGAATAGAAACACAAGTGATCGGTATGAAGACACATTTATTAATGATCGTGAGGCGGGAAACAATAAGGGTGGAAAACCCCATCATTAAACATACATGTACATTAACTATGGAGTAAGGGAGATAATACAAATCAATACATGTAACAATCAATACAATAAATTGACGAAGTACCTATACAAAGGAGCCTCATTAATAGTTGTCATTTTGTTCAAAAACTTACGATTAGCTTTCCATGGCTTTTAAATATTCGAATTATGGTATTCCTGATGAAGATAAATCCAGGAAAGCGCCTCGGACACATGCAATTTATAATGTATTGTTTTCATTTGTTTTAGCCCCGCATCTATTTGTAAACTTGTTAATCAGTAAAGCTTTAAACACATTATTATTATTTCTCGTGTTTACAAATTAAACATATCTGTATTGACAACGAACGATAAAAGTGTCACCGATGTGATAATGAAACTATGAGACTATATAATTATATATAGTTATAGCTGTTTTTTATTGATTAATTGATTAAGCCATTTTAAAACATGATGAAACAAAAAAGAAAATGCTATAAAAAAATTGAAAACGTTTGATGGTTAAAAGTTATCAACGCACTAAATCAAATTTATACCATTAATCAGCGGACACTTTAATTGTTATTATATGAAAAATGTTGCATTATTTGCTCGGGATCTAATTAAAGTGTATAACGTTTAGTGTCTTCTTTACCCTTGTCATATTTTGATGTGTATTTCACCATTTATTTCTATCGTTTAGTTTCGTAAAATACTTTTCTGAACATTTGAGATACTTAGAAACAAGTACCAAAATGTGCATAATTTTAATGTAAAACAATTAATGCCCCTCCTAACCTGGGACAGTAGTCTAACAGCACAATTAAGAATAAACTGTGAAAATTAGTTGATATAGCACTCATCATTCCACATAAGCACAAACAACATCTTACAAAAAAGACTATAAACAAAAAGTAACGATCTAACACGGCCGAAACTACTGATGAGGCAGACGATGCAAGTGCAATTGCCTCGTCTGAATTTTTGGCAAAACAAAATGAGAAAAAGTAAAAAAAGAAAATGGAGAAAATGGAGAAAGCTAGGCAAGCAGGGGTAGACATCCTTGCATTTTCATATAAAGAATTAAGTAATGCATACTTAGAATGATAATTAAAGTTGACGTGCAGCTTCTGTACTTTTAAATTACGTTACGTTAGGCGTCGAACTCTCTGTCTGATTACCATCGCCAGTAAACCGGCGTTTGGTTTTGCAATTATTTATTTCCCACGAAAATGATAATGGTTTTTGTTTCCACATTATCAGAGCGCAAAGTAAATCAAAATTTAAATAATTCGAATTCTACACCCCACACTTTGTGTGCATTTCTTTTTCAAATAAAATGAAGATATGAGGCATTTTCAATTGTTTTGCTATACCAACCTGGCCTCTATTCGAAAACAAAACATGTATTTCGGATGGATGAAGCATTTGTTTGGTTTAACGCTGAGTGGGCTTTATGTCAGCTATTTAATGGAGAGCAGGTTATGTGATCATTCCATTCGAATGTTAAATGGACAGGACAAGACCTAATTATATAAGCAGACTTACAATTTGATTCCTTGATACTATGAATGTATATGGAGTATTGTGGGAGTACTTCGGGATTGCGAAAAAAGACTGTCGTACAATTAAACATGTTAAAGGTGGTTCGAGAGTATTAAATTTGTATCATTATTGATTCGAGTGTTATGCATTTATAACATTAGCAAAATAAATTAATTATTCAATTTCAAGAAAGTAGTCAAACGATGGGATCTTGGTGGCACAAGAAAGGTCGAACTAGCATTCACAGACAGTAACTAGGTTCCACTCTTTGGGCTTTATTAAAGTTATTGAAAATGTGTGTTATTTTAAATGAAGCGTTGACCACACACATTTGTCGCGATTTCCCTACTATCAAACATGCCATTGTACCCTACTATAAATGGATACATGTTTAATGGTAAAAATTCAAGACATAGTCTAATAGCCTAATGCCTTCATACGGTAAATATGATAGAAAACAGATGTAACAAGATATATTCCGAACCCTAATATTACAATTTTCCGTCAGGGGGCCTCAGTCGGCGGCCCAAAACCCCTGCCTCGTCTGTTTCTGAGGCCTAGTTACGGTCCCAATTCTAATAGTTCTCGCAGTTACTGAAAGCTAGTTCAAAGCCAATTACATTTAACAAATGAATAATATTTCCAAAACCAAAGTAGCAATCAGTACACGCCCAATGGATATAGTTTTAAGACATCAATAAATTGAGAAAAAACATGACCTTGTGGAATGACAGAATAAAAGGAATGGCAGATGTAGGGTTATAAGTGTTCATAATAGATATACTCAATTAGTTATGTTTTATTTCATAAATAAAAAAAAACATCCAATTTCCGATAAAATCAACATTCAAAAATTATATTACACTCAGTCCGTTAAATTGATCACCTTTCAGAATAAGTTTATAAAAGGATCGATAATTTACGTAACTTATTTAATGCAGTCTTGGCTATATTTATGGATATTTATGGCTATAACGTTCATTAAAATGTATAACGTTACCAAATACGTATACGCCCGCAAGGCGAACGAGTTTGGAAATATACACACGGATGGGGGGGAAATGAAAATCACTATCCAAGAAAATTAACAATAGGAAACGAAAAAAACATCCTTTACTTTAAAGTTTTGAATAGAGTTTCACATGTTGCTGTTCATATTAATTTAATTGATAAATTCAATAATATTGAAGATATTTTTGCGTAAAATAAACAAATCTTTACCGAGTTTGACAATAAACTGTGATTTATAACAATACAGGAACAAGTCTGCCATATAATGAGCGCTATTGGTGCCATATGAAACTTTTTTGACGTAACGTACATAAATGTCAAGGGAAATTTATCGCTTAAAAAGAAGGGCGGAAGATACCAAAGTGTTATTCAAACTCATAAGTCGAACACAAACTAACAATCCCATGGCTAAAAACGAAAAACGATCAGAAGAAAACAATAGCTTACAAAACACAACATAGAAAACTAATTATCTCATTACACTTCAGTAAGTATATCGAGCACATTTATCGTTTTCAAAACAAAGAAAGTCGATTTTAGCGATTTTGCATAGATTGGCGAATGTACAATATTTCAAATTCTTATATACAAAAATATTTACTTTAAAACAATTAGGTAATCTAACACAAAAAGTGTTTCCATGTTTGTCTTTTTGAAAATATTATAGACTACATTAGCTCCTGATCAATCATGTCTTCTAATGATAAATCATCATCATTATACAGGTACGTCGAAGCAGAATATTCATATGTTGCCGAATCAAATGTGTTCGAATCCAACATTGACGACATTACACCGAAGCCAAGGCGATTTCGAGGTGGTGCTCTACAATAAAGGAGTGTATTATATACTTAGTAGTAAATATAGATTAATTGTATGTGTAATACAATCATTGGCAAGCGTGCTGTATCAGCCACCCATGATGATATCGATATCAGCATGGTTGCAAAGGCTTTATCACACCTTTAATCTGTATGACGTCACGTCATCGATTGCAGTCACTGTTGCAAATGCTTTATCAAACCCCTAATCTGTATGACGTCATGTCAAACCTCTAATCTGTATGACGTCATTTCAATCCCCCTTATCTGTATGACGTCATGTCACATAAAACACATCTATGTGAGGTATATGTATATAATAAAGTGCATATAATATGGCTTTTTCAATATCACACACCGTATCAACCCGAGATATATAGATTCTACCACTGCATCGAGTGTGATACGATATTTATCCACTCTCGACAGTTAAATTTTCAAATTTAAAACGCGAGGCTCGCCGAGCGTTTTAAATATTTAAAATTTAACTGTCGAGAGTGGATAAATATCGTATTACACGAGAGTTGGTGGTGGAATCTGTTTGTCTTATGATTTTCAAACAATACGCAGGCAAATTTATTCCTTCTTTTCGAATGATCTGCAAAAAGATGTGTTCTTTCTATGTGACGTCATCAGGCATGGTCGCCTTTTTTCATGCCGTCACAATAGGAAATTCAGAGGAAAGCAAGAAAATTCGACGTCATAATCGGATTTTAACCAATGAAGAACTGAGATCAAACGAATCACACGTTGATTAAATTTTTTATATACAATGGGTGCAGAAAGGGATAAATTGACGAAGAATTAGAGAAACCAATATAATCCCAAGAGCTCTGATGTGATATTGAAAAAGCCATATGATATTCTCTATATAATTACATTGGAGGTAATCTCTAGTTACCGTACGCATTTTACATTTAATGGTCAATGAATTTGTCCTTTTACTATTGAAACAAAGGTTTTGAAATCAAAGTGCAGATCATACGAAAGATTGAGAACATTTAATGCCATAGAAATAAAATCGTTTAAGGAACCCTTTAGTGATAAAAAATAGTGTGCATGTATAACGCTTCTCATGAACGAAGTAAGCAGTCGCACATATACCACAATTTACCAAAATATCTGCGAATGGGTCATCGTAGCATTATTTACGTGTAAAGTATGTCCAGTTTAAACGCCTGTAGTCAGTATGTGAGGAAATATTAAATAAACCATTAGTTATGGCTTCCTTAAGAATGATCTTTTAATGTCTGCAGTATGATATTGAACGATAACAAATCAGAAAGAGACCAACCATGACCAAAAGTAAACATACTTATCTTATATATTTAATTTGACAGCGTCAGACGTTCTTATTTATGACACCTTTCGAATGGACAAAATCGTTACATTGCCGTATAATTCATGAACAAAACTAATTGTTTACAGTGCAATTTCCTCTATCCCCCATTCCCTCGCCCAGTACACTTCTGTTCTGTACATTGAGGATGAGAAGGTGGATAAGGAAAGTGTATGTGATAAGAATTATAAGTAATGCACTGTCCATACTAGAGACTGTATTTGTTGACAGCAAAAGACACGAATCTTGGGCCAGTATTGGAATGTCAATGATACCTGTTCACGTCTACTTAAGTATGAGCATTCATGTCTTCATAGTATTTTTGTTTTGTTTTTTTTGATAAAGTACATGATTGGCTGTTTTATCATTAATATCGTTGCACACATAAAAAGACTTCTAATTATCTATAGTTAATGGTTTCTCTACCTGTATATATATATATATCGATTTATGTTTCTGTATAATTATGCATGTATATCTTTTTATTTCAGTACACATAAGTGCCCAGCAATTATAGAAAAAAAATGTTTCGAAAAATGCTGGCGGTCTTAACCGAAACACTTGTTAAATGAAAATTACGCTTTTCTGGACATACGTGTTTCTCATTTCTCGTTTTTATATAGATTAGACCGTTGGTTTTTCCGTTTGAATGGTTTTACACTAGTAATTTTTTGGGGCCCTTTATAGCTTGCTGTTCGGTGTGAGCCAATGCTCCGTGTTGAAGGCCGTACCTTGACCTATAATGGTTTACTTTTATAAATTGTAACTTAGATGGAGAGTTGTTTCATTGGCACTCATACGACATCTTCCTATATCTAACCTGCATCAGGGACGTACAAAACCAAAATCATGTGAAAGCAAATGATGAATAAATACGCAACATTTTTAACGAAATTATCATTTCAGTTCACGTGAATGTCAATGTCAGATCATTACCTCTCTGTTTCCTCCAACATAATAATTTCCTCGTCTTGCATAAATTCAGTCAAATTTATAAATGACTTAATTTTCTTTTGAACTTGTAGTGCCTCTATTTTAGTTTCAATCTCTGATCCACTCGACGCAGACAACATTTGTTTTCTAATACTATTTATGCAAAGCATTGACAGTGATCTTGTACTTTTTCTGAAAGTTTCCAAAAAGTTCCAGAAATCTGCTTTTGCTTTTTCCATGTTTATTCTGTTGCATCTTTCATATTTGATTTGAACAGTTGACACATCCAGTTTACTTATATCAAAACTGTCAATCCATTCCTCCTTTTCAATTTCCCATCCACATCGTATTAAAAAGGTTGCAGCAGTTAACAATCCGTTTTTTATGAGGAATAAAAATGACGATGTTTCATTTGGAAAATCTGGTATCATGCTAGAATGCAAAAAAAAAAATAAAAACATATTTTTAAAACTCACGTATGTGTGAATGCTTTAACATCCATCAAAATCTGGTAAAATGAATTATCTATGTTATGAAATTATCAAGTAGATCATGTTATGATGTAATTTTCAGTGTACTGTGTATACTGTGGAATCATTATTATTCGTGAAATACCAAGTTTCGTTGATTTCGTGGGAACAGGTGAATCACAAATTTAAATGGCAAACGAAGTACTGTTAACACATTTGCAATAGGTTTATATACTAACTTTGACAAAACGACGAAATCAAATATCCACAATAATAGTTTCTCCCCGATCCTAATAAGTATATAAAATTGAGAATGGAATATCTATATAGAATCATGTGCAAAACAGTGTAGCCGAGACCATTGATTGGCGCGCTAAAATATCCCATTGACTGGGTCAGATTAGGTGAACGTTCGTCTGTAACGCCCACAACTCACGACGTATTTATTATAAACATTTAAACTGTGGGGTTGCCAAAGGGTCTCAGTATATATACGTACTACAGTGCACAGTATATTATATACATATTTTATTTGCGATCATAAAATGTACGAAGTCGTCCATTACTATGTAAATTGGGTCGATTAAAAAAAAAGCTGAATATGTTTCTGTTGCCAAGGGTTTTTCACAAGTATAGTAGTTAGCAGAAAAGATCATCAAACTATACATTGTATACTGAACTGCGGCCAAGCTTAGCGAAAGGTCGTGCAACATAATCAGTCAAACAAACTTTATTAGATTAACTCGTTAAGGAACGATCGTTTTCATTGGTCAATTCAAACCTTCGACCTCACACCTGCGAAAATAGAACACGCGTACTATAAAGCTGAATGGACTGATCAGTATTCACGTAGCCGGTCAAGGTCGTTAAAAACTTCCATCGTCGTATTCACGTACATGATTGTGTTCTTGATTATCCCATGGCAATTCTAGCTTTTATACATGTGCATGTAAAATTTTAAACTTTAATCTTAACAGTCACGTCGAAATATTTAATTCAACTGTCTCCTCTCAATTGGTTCTGGATTAAGGGAGCTACCATTTTATTTTGATTGGGGGTGGGGGACTTGGATGACACATTTTGTCCTGCATTTATTTTTAGTTGTTATCTCTGTCCTGTCTTTCTATTTTTCAGTCTGTTAGGTCCTGACTATATTTATTAGTTTATCCTGATTTTTTTACATAAATCGTCATCCTGCCTTTTTTTGTCAAGTTGCTCACCCTGCCTTATCTTTTATTCAATCGACTTGATGAATTAACGTTGTACTTGAAATGAAACCGTACTTAACTACAAAAATAACCAAATTACATACTAAAGATATTGCTCGATTTTTATAGTAAATGGGTTTGTGTTATAAACTGTCATGTTCATTATTCATATTCTTTCATAAGTTTTAGGATAGTGTGATTTTTTTCTGATTTAGTTTACTTGATTTTGAAGAAAAAAATCCCGAAATTCTAAGTAAATTCAGAACATGTAACCAGCCATGCTTTGTTTAGAGAAAAAATAGAGATGGCAAACCATGGCACAGTGGAAGGAAATGTACTTTATAAACTCCAGCGATATACTTTCTTAATTTATAATTAACTGTTTTGCTATCCTCGGTTGAAAATTATATATTGTAAATATTTAAATAGTTGCATAGAAAACAATCAGTTTTAAACAGTGTGGTTATTCACTAAATGTATTGATAAAAGGTGACTCCATTTTTGTACATACTTTTACAGTAGTCATCCTTAATTTCTTAATATTTCGTTTATAAGTTTATCATACATGTATGATTTTGTATCTCATTTTAATACGCACGCATACCACACGTTACTTTGGCGGATAGTTCAACAATGTTATGCAAAGCTCTATTCTTACGGTATGAAATTAAAGGATAAATTTTCAACCAATTAAAATCGAAAACAGTACATTTATATAGTTCCTTACAAACTACGACATTTCTCACAAGTATTTATTTATTTTTTAGTTCCACACATGCAAAAATAAAATCTTCGCCGATGAAACATTTCAAACCTTTTTACACCAACATGCCTTCACTGAATTCATTTGAATTTCGTGGTGACCATGAAAGTACATTGCATAGTACATCTATATTCACGTGCACACATGATACGATCTTTCGGGGACATTTGCTCGTTTATGACACGTCATTTCTGAATGACCAAACGCTTATCTACTTTATTTTCGTTTTATTGCATGAAAACAATAAAAGAGGAATGTGCAACCCATCATAAATTTGAAATGAATCAGTATTATGAGATCCTTAATATAAGTAACTACGAAATTGTCAGGATAATAACCTAGCGTCAATATGAAAGAAATTAAAGTGGTTCATACATTCATCCGTATAAAAGCGGCACATGTATTTTATTTTATCCTTATATTTTTCATAGTGCGGTACAAGTGCTGCATGCATAAAGAATATTACTTAACACAAATTATTAGTATAATATTTCGACCCCACTATTTGAAATTAACAAAATACTTATTTAATTATTTCGACCAAAATCATTGTTTTTTACGTTCGTAGTAACGTAGTACATTCCATTGTCGGTCACCTGTGTCAATTCACGTGCACACTACAATTGTTGTTGTATTTAAATCTTTCGGCCAATGAAATGAGACGTTACAAGTTGTTTGTTTGTGATACGCCAGAATGTTATCAATGAATTATCAATCGCTAAACTTGACTGTACCTATTCAAAAACGTAAATGCAAATTTCACAAGGCTTGATCCTAATAGCCTTTTTACTGTCTAATAACTTGCAAGTACGAAAAAGACAGGAAAGAAGTATATTTTGTCTATATGTTTTGTGTTTGCACACTTTTTAAAGTTGATCATGCATTCGTTCTAAAATAAAATTTTGACCAGATAAAAGTTAAAAGATGACATAATTGGACAACCGCAATTGTTTAATCGCTTTGACGTCCGAAAAAAAGATAATAATCAACACATCCATTGTAACTTTTAAAGCCAGTTAAATCCTTTTTTGCTGAAAGATCGTCCGATATCATAAAAATTCATTATCAAAACATAACAAAAACACAAGTAAAGAACGTTTAAGTATTCAATATAAATCAAAACACAAAGGTTATTCCTGATTAGTTTTTCGAATTATTTTATTTAGGCGTTGAGACCCTTTGGTGACCCCACAGTTTAAATGTCTATAATAAATACGTCGTGAGTTGTGGGCGTTACAGACGAACGTTCACCTAATCTGACCCAGTCAATTGGATATTTTAGTGCGCCAATCAATGGTCTCGGCTACACTGTTTTGCACATGATTCTATTGCAACACATTTTCTAACAAATGATTATTTTCAATTTAGGCTAAAATGTATAATTGTAGAATTTATGAGATGATCATAATTGGTAATAAGTGATCAGGGTAGTATATTTCACAATATTTAAATTTAACTAAAAATAATATTTTTGTTTTGCTAGATTGAAAAGCTTTTTAAAAAAATCTCTTTCATCCACAATTCATTCATGCTTGTCAGTGTAATGATAGAAGAGAGTCGAAATGTACGAAAGGAACATTTAAACTCAAAAGTCGAACGAAAACTGACAACGCGATGGGTAGAAAAGAAAAAAAACCAACAGAAAAACAACAGAACACAAAACACAACATAAAAAAAAATAAAGACTGATCATCACGAACCCCACCAAAAAAATGGGGTAGATCTCAGGTGCTTCAGGTGGGGGAGGGGGATAGCAGATCCTGCTCCACAAGTTGCAAATGATAGCTAAACATTAACGACGCGAATCTCTAATATAATTTAACTTTGTTTACTTCAAAAAAAATAACCTATTTTTTTTAAGCTGAAATTAATTGATCCGTACAGAAGCCTTTTAAGAGAACACATATTTTATCAAATTAAAAACAACAAAAAAGCGCCAACTCGATCGATAATGTGGATACAATTCTTATTTTCTAGTGCTTCATGCTTATATATATGGACGTGTATGCAGATATCAGTGAGTTAATCACATGTGATGTGGCGGCATGGTAATAAACATTATCATCCATTATGACAGACAAAATAGCTGATCTGAAAGGTAAACCATCTACTTGCCACTATACATCATGTACTGTGTTACAACCCTAGATGAAACCGACGAGGAAAGGCATAATATAGATAATCAAAAGCTATATTTTATATAGCCTAGTTGGTCGAGTGGTCTAGGTCGCTGGACACGGTGCATGCGATGTTACCACGATGTCACAGAAGTAAGGGTTCGAATCCTGCTGAGGAAGCAACAAAAATCTGCCAACGCAAAGTTGAAGACCTAACATTGTTGGTCTAACTTTGAAACGAATATATATATATATATTTAGTAACTACTCCTTTCCAACGGGACACTTTCGAACGGGGTATAGTGTAACAGCTGCGTATAACAGCATATACAATGAATATATACAAACAAGTACAAGATATTCATATTTCATTATAAGAGTAAAAAATATGGTTCATTAAAAATAAGACAGCTTACAAAAAAAAGAAATAATAACATTGTGTTCAACCTTAAAATAGAAATTAAACCAAGAGTTACATACATCATAATGCACAGACAGGTCACATTTAAAACTTTAAGTTCCAATACCAATGATCTGAGCGACTACATTTCATTCAACATGTTGTACTTGAGTAATTGGTTTGTCAGAAGATTTCTGATAGTATTTTGCGACAAGTTTAAGATTTTTTCTTTGTATAGTTAGTCGGGTGCGATATGGTAATGGTATCCGACCGTCTGTTCGTCCGTCCGAAACATATCAATATTCAAAGACTATTTGATCGAACTCTTTCATACGTCGTATTCTCTTGACCGCGCTATACCGGCAGTTTCATTCGAAAATTTATTTAAATCATTAATAAAATGATACACTGTGAACGCAACTCCTGTGAGTCAGTTTTACAAAAAATCTCTCATACTTAGTAGGATAGTTTTAC